TTCTGCTCCACCAATTATCCGAAGTGCAGGCCCACCTGCCGCGAGACTCTTTGCGGTCTGCCGCGTCTACGGTGATGTGCTCAGTCATGGCGATGCGCAGGCTGTGGCTGTCTACATCCCGTTATTCGGCAGCAACACAGCAGACCTTGCTGGCCCTTCCATTTCGGCTGGGAGCGACGTTGTTTCCGGGGGCACAACAGGTCACTAAGGAGGCTGCTGCAGCAGCTACCTCCTTCAAGGATTCTAAGGCCTTGCTGGAGCAACCACGGCTCGCCTCGTAGCGGGTTCCTCCTCTGGGGCGCAGCCTATGCCCGAGACTGCCGGCTGGCTTCGGCTGCTGGGTAGAGGTAGGAGGAGGAGCTGTCCCGCCAAAGGTAAGGGCAAGGAGCAGTCTTCTTCGTCTGGCTCCCAGCAGCCTTTTCGCGGTCGCGGGGGTCTGCCCCGACCTCCTGTTAAACCTGCAGGCTGTCGCTGTGGGTCCGTCCCAGCCAGTTTATCTGCAGGGGACCACTCATGCCCTCTTACCACACGTCCCAGTGGGGGGCCGCCTCTGTCTATTCCTGCCGGAGTGGGAGAAGTGTACCAGCAACACTTGGGTGCTATCCAACGTCAGTGTGGGCAATCTACCACTGTGGAAGCGAGGCCCGCCAGAGTTCACCGGCATACGCTCACTCCGGTGGCGTCATGTCCGGTCAAGGCAGGTATACTGCGAGACGAAGTTCAGGCTTTGCTGGACAAGCCCGCAATAGAGCGCATACCACCAGGCGAGGAAAAGGGGGGATTTTATTCCACGTACTTCCTCGTTCCGAAGAAGGACAGCGGGTTCTGTCCCATTCTCAACCTCAAGGGGTTGAATTGCATGCTAGAGGTTCCATCCTTCAAGATGGAGACACTTTGCTCGTTGATCTCCTCTGTTCAGCCTGGCGATTGGCTTACGTTGATCAACCTAAAGGATGCGTATCTACATGTGCCAATTCATCCATCGTTCAAGCAGTACCTCCGGTTCTCTTAAGACGGGATGTATTAGCACGACGGGATGTATTACCAATATACAGTGTTCCCCTTTGGCATATCCACTGCCCCCAGGGTGTTCACCAAACTCATGTCAGTACCGGCTACCCTCGCAAGGTCGCAAGGAAGGTGTTGTTACCCTTACCTAGACGACTGGTTGCTCAGTGCTCTAACTCAGCCAGCGAGCCTAGATTCTACCCACACGGTGATAGACATTCTAGTTCGACTGGGGTGGATCATAAATCTCAAGAAATCCGACCTGGTACCCACCCAGGGCTCGGTTTTTCTCGGGGCGCGGTTCACAACTCACAAGGGTCTTGTCTCTTTGTCGCCCGACCGGGGTCACCAGAGTACGGGAGGTGGTGTCTTCGTTCCTCTCTCAGCCCCAGGCAGCAGCGCGGACTTGGCTCCATCTACTGGGTCATATGGCGGCAACTATCTCTGTAGTGTGGCGGGCGCGGTTGAGGATGTGCCTTATAGAGCAAGCTTTGGCGGGTCTGTGGGCTCACTCGGAGGATCTCTCCAAGGGGGTCCCTTTGGAAATCCCGACACCAGCTCTTACAGTTCAAACCGATGCGTCCCTCATGGGCTGGGGGGGTGTTCTGAGCAGTCTGTCGGTGAAGCCCACCTTCACAATCACATCAACATCTTAGAACTGAGAGCTGTGCGGTTGGTTTTCGAGCGCTTCCGGGAGCACGTTCAGGGCCGGGTGGTTCGTCTTCAGTTGGACAACCGAACGGCCATGACGTACATCCTGAAGCGATGCGGCACGGTGTCCCGAGCCCTCCTTCTGGAGACGTGGGAATTTCTCCTCTGGTGCGACCAGTGTGACTGTCAGGTGCTTCCTTCTTATCTCCCAGGGCTGGAGAACGTGCGAGCAGAAGCTTTCTTTGCCGGATCCTGGCCCCGCACGAGTGGATGCTCGACCGGCAGATATTCGGAGTTATCTCCCAGTTGTAAGGATCGTTCCAGGTGGATCTGTTTGTGTCCGGTGGGACGAATCAGATACCCGTGTTCTGCTCTCAAATACCGGACCAGAGGGCGTTGGCTTCCGACGCCTTCCTGCTAGATTGGACAGGCAAGGTGCTGTGGGCGTTTCCGCCTCTACCACTCATTCCCCGGGTCCTCTCCCAGCTGTCCACCCAGCCAGCTCGGCTACTTGTGCTACTGTCACCGCTATGGCCGTCACAGAGCTGGTTTCCAGTAATTCTCAGGTTTCTGGCTCAACCTCCTGCTCTATTACCTTTGCAACCGGACATTCTCATTCAGAACGGCGCGCGCCATACCCCAATCCAAGGATTTAGTGGGTGGCTTGGCCTCTGTCAGGTCTAGCCTCGAGGCACGTGATATTCCTGCAGCAGTTGCAGACACAAATCTGGCTTCGAGGTGGGATTCGACAAACGTTCAACTTCAATATTAGGATAGGTGGTCCCGCTATGCGCGCTGGTGTTCAGATAGGGGGATTGCAGATCCCTTTTCTGCGGATTTAGTCAGAGTATTGGAGTCTTTGCAAGCTCGTTTGGAAGAAGGCTTGGCGGCTTCAACCATTCGTGGCTACTCCACCGCTATTTCCACTTTCCACACCACTGTCGATGGTGCTCTTCTGGGGCAGGACCCTCTTATGCAGCTCTTTTTAGCTGGCGTGGAACGGGTTCGACCTGCTGTCAGGCGAACCAGCCCACCTTGGGATTTGTCAATTGTGCTAGATTAGCTGTCCGGTCCTACATTCTCACGTCTATCGGCTATTTCCATTCTGCTGTTAACATGGAAGGCCGTATTTCTGGTGGTGGTAACATCTGGGCGAAGGGTCGGTGACTTACATGCTATGTCGGCAGACCCGGCGCTGACTGTGTTCCATCCAGATCGTGTCAGTATTCGCCTCCCGGATACTTACCTTCGGAAGATCGATCACGCTTTCCATGTGACAGCTCCTATCGAACTTCCTACTCTTACCCAACCTTCCACATCGGGAACCTCTGCAAAGAGCACTCACCCGTTCGATGTACATAAGACTCTCAAGGTCTATCTCAAATGAACACAAGGGATCCGTACGGGTACCCATCTGTTCTGCCAGCAAACAGACCCTATCACGCTGGCTTGTATTGGTCATTTGTGCTGCTTATCAGGCTAAGGGCAAGCCTCCCCCTGAGGGGTTGAAGGCTCACTCGGTCAGGGCAGTGGCCACGTCAGAGGCTTTTGCATCGGCACTGCCCATTGAAGAGATATGCTCTGCCGCTATTTGGAGCAGGCCTAGCACTTTTATCAGGCAGTATCAGCTCGATACACATTCTCATGATCGTGCGAGTTTTGGCCGTTCGGTTCTCTCCAGTGGACAGTGTCCTGCAACCCTGACCGAGTGAATCTTGATTATCTGGACAGTTGACGCTGCTTTCAATTGTGTATAATTGATATATCCGCTTTTATCTCTAACTACTTTCGATTTTCTCTCATGAGATTATGGTCGGTTGTGAGTTGGTTTTCCCCCTTACGGTGCTCTTTAATAGATTCATGATGTGGGCGGGTTTTTTACTTTGCACTGTGTGTGCTTTGCTTTGCTTAACCTGTGAGGTCGGGTCTTAGTACTTTCCTCCCTGTTGGTACCCCCCCCATCATGCCTCTCGTGGAAGCTTCGGGACACGTGACAGGTGAGTGTTGTGGCGTCTGTCACATTCTTCCTAACAATCACTATATGTGTACTTTGACAGAATTCCCTCCTCCCTAGCCTCCGGTCTTTGGGAGTCTGAGTTAATGCATATATGTACCCCAAGGACGATCTCTGAAATGATAGCTAAACCTGTAGAGGTTTCCAATTCTTTGAAGAGAATCGTCCTTCGGGTAGGGCCGCCCACCTCCCCGCAATTCTGTTCACTGATTTATTCAGCAGAAGGAATGATGATACGGGCCTAGGTGCTTACCTGGTTGGCTGCGCATGCGTAGCAGGGAGGTAACTCCACGTGGTGGGGGCCATATAATAGATAAAAAAGATTTTTATTTATTGTACAATATTTTTATTAAAACATTGATACAACTGTCACATGACATTTTCAGCCTCAGAAAATGCATATATGTACCCCAAGGACGATTCTCTTCAAAGAATTGGAAACCTCTACAGGTTTAGCTAAATTTATCATTGAACTTAATCACATACACTGTTTGGGGCGGTGGGGTAGCCAAGTGGTTAAAGCGTCCGCTCATCATGCCGAGGCCCAGGTTCGATTTCCCACATGGGTACAGTGTGTTTATCCCTCCGCTGTGATATTGCTGGAATATTGCTAAAAGCAGCGTAAAACCATGCTCACTCACTCACTCACTCACTCACTCACTCACTCACTCACTCACTCACTCACTCACTCACTCACTCACTCACTCACTCACTCACTTATACTCACTCACTCACTCACTCACTGGTGTGGTACTTGTTGTCTGTTCGAGAGCGGAAGGTCGCAGGTTCGATCCCCGGCCGGGTTATACCAAAAGACGTTAAAATATGGTACTTGATGGTTCCTGCCTGGCGCTCGGCATTAATGGGTACAACAAGTATAATGTGTCTGAGTGGGGTATTCATGCTTCACTGCGGCATGGTATCTCAGTGGGCTAGCTCTATAAAACCAGCTTAAGTCTGGGCTAGTACAAGCAGCCGCACATACACATACACACGCATGCACATCGTCATATGAGCGAAATATGCTCAAGCACGACGTTAAACCCAATTTCACCTCACTCACTCACTCACTCTCACTCACTCACTCACTCACTCACTCACTCACTCACTTCACTCACTCACTCACTTTGATAGATGTATTTTGCTAACAGTTGTGAACACTCACTCAGATTAAAACTGTGGACACGTATGATAATCTCACTTTTTACCATGCCTACTGGAGTCCTTTTTTTTCCATATAATACATGTTGATTAGAGCCAGGTGAACTACAGAGCCCTATGCTGGCCTTACATCTCCATCAATGTTTAATTATTTTGTTTCCTGCAGAGCCGAAGACCTCCTTCGACAGATTGTAGGAAAAACTAAGAGGGCAGCAGGGACTGAATTTGAATCCCAGGAGTCAAAAAAGCAAAAAACAGAAGATGGTGTTAGGTGGGTATAACTTTTTTGTTGTCAACCTGGTCCCGCTTATAACAACTGTTGGATAAGTGTGTAAAATACCCATGTGTGTTACTGTACACAAGGTGTTACTGATGATGGAGTTGTTACATAGAGAAATCTGTTGTGTAGTTAATTTTGTGATTGTCTTGTATATAGTGATGCCAATACAGAAGTCCTGCCACGAATCCAAGTACACAGAGTGGAAACGGTTGAGGCCTGTTTGCATGAGGTAAGAAGAACACAATGAACCTTCAACTTTTGATATTTGAGAGAGAGAGAGGGGGGGCAGGGGGGGAGATTTTACAGGACAATGGAAACAGCAAGAGAGTATGTTATATGTGGAGTGTGTATTGAAAAAGCATTTCATGTATTTGAGAGAAGGGCTTGAAAGAATGTTACATGAAATGGGACTGAGACGAGATTGAGTAAAATACAATACAGACCTAAAGTCGTCCCACTGACCAACACAGTAAAATACAATACAGACCTAAAGTCGTCCCACTGACCTACATAGTCAAATACAATACAGACCTAAAGTCCTCCCACTGACCAACACAGTAAAATACAATACAGACCTAAAGTCCTCCCACTGACCTAAAATACAGACCTAAAGTCTCCCACTGACCAACACAGTAAAATACAATACAGACCTAAATTCCTCCCACTGACCAACACAGTCAAAAAATACAATACAGACCTAAAGTCCTCCCACTGACCAACACAGTAAAATACAATACAGACCTAAAGTCGTCCCACTGACCAACACAGTAAAATACAATACAGACCTAAAGTCCTCCCACTGACCAACACAGTAAAATACAATACAGACCTAAAGTCCTCCCACTGACCAACACAGTAAAATACAATACAGACCTAAAGTCCTCCCACTGACCTACACAGTAAAATACAATACAGACCTAAAAAGTCCCACTCAACACAGTAAAATACAATACAGACCTGACCAACACAGTAAAATACAATACAGACCTAAAGTCCTCCCACTGACCTACACAGTAAAATACAATACAGACCTAAAGTCCTCCCACTGACCAACACAGTAAAATACAATACAGACCTAAAGTCCTCCCACTGACCAACACAGTAAAATACAATACAGACCTAAAGTCCTCCCACTGACCTACACAGTAAAATACAATACAGACCTAAAGTCCTCCCACTGACAGTAAAACACAGTAAAATACAATACAGACCTAAAAGTAAAGTCTCCCACTGACCAACACAGTAAAATACAATACAGACCTAAAGTCCTCCCACTGACCAACACAGTAAAATACAATACAGACCTAAAGTCCTCCCACTGACCCTCCCACACAGTAAAATACAATACAGACCTAAAGTCCTCCCACTGACCAACACAGTAAAATACAATACAGACCTAAAGTCCTCCCACTGACCAACACAGTAAAATACAATACAGACCTAAAGTCCTCCCACTGACCAACACAGTAAAATACAATACAGACCTAAAGTCGTCCCACTGACCAACACAGTCAAATACAATACAGACCTAAAGTCCTCCCACTGACCAACACAGTAAAATACAATACAGACCTAAAGTCGTCCCACTGACCAACACAGTAAAATACAATACAGACTTAAAGTCTTCCCACTGACCAACACAGTAAAATACAATACAGACCTAAATTCCTCCCACTGACCAACACAGTAAAATACAATACAGACAGACCCACTGAAAGTCAGTAAAATCCCACTGACTGACCAACACAGTAAAATACAATACAGACCTAAATTCCTCCCACTGACCAACACAGTAAAATACAATACAGACCTAAAGTCGTCCCACTGACCAACACAGTAAAATACAATACAGACCTAAAGTCGTCCCACTGACCTACACAGTAAAATACAATACAGACCTAAAGTCGTCCCACTGACCAACACACAGTAAAATACAATACAGACCTAAAGTCCTCCCACTGACCAACACAGTAAAAAGTCCTCCCACTGACCAACACAGTAAAATACAATACAGACCTAAAGTCCTCCCACTGACCAACACAGTAAAATACAATACAGACCTAAAGTCCTCCCACTGACCTAGGTTATCTTATGGCCATTATCCAACAAGCTTATATTTACAAATGCGGACATGTAACTGTTAGAGGTGCTGGTTACTAGCTTTTGGGAGTAAAAATGTGACAAGAATTGCTTGATTTTTCCAGGTGGCAGTGCCCCCCGATGAAGAGTTTGTGCCCCTCAAACCCTCACAGAAGAAGGCTGCTAAAGACTTCCCCTTTATCCTGGATCCGTTTCAAAAGGAGGCCCTTCTGTGTCTTGAGAACAACCAGTCTGTGTTGGTGTCAGCTCACACATCAGCTGGAAAGACTGTCGTAGCTGTGCAATGTCTTGTGTACATGTATCTAGCATATGTTATGCATGTCAACTTGACCTCTGAAGTGATGTGGCTTCATTATTGTCTCCAGGTATGCTATCGCCATGTCGCTACAGGTGAAGCAGAGAGTCATCTACACTACACCTATCAAGGCTTTGAGTAATCAGAAATACAGAGAGCTATTTGAAGAGTTTCAGGACGTGGGGCTGATGACTGGAGACGTCACCATCAACCCCACTGCTAGCTGCCTCGTCATGACTACAGAGGTAGGAAGCCCTTGCTTTGATCATTCATAAGTCATTTCACATTTGCCCTGATGATGAAACTGATTAATAACCTACCTTGCTTTCAGATTTTGAGAAGCATGTTGTATCGTGGATCTGAGGTGATGCGAGAGGTAGCCTGGGTTATATTTGACGAGATTCATTACATGAGAGACAAAGGTAAGAGGAGATAACACTGCTTGCCTAATCCTTCAAGAAGTGTTATCTCATGAATATGATCACTTCTCCTTGTGTTTGCCTGAGTAGAATGCATGATATGGGCTCAGCATAGTTTGACATTTTTCATTTGATCTTGTGCTCTGTAATTTGTGTCACATATTTTGCTATTGATATATTTGAACGATGTTGTGTTTGCTGTGTCTGTCAGAGAGAGGTGTAGTCTGGGAAGAAACCATTATCTTGCTGCCTGACAACGTCCACTATGTGTTCCTGTCAGCAACCATTCCCAATGCCCGTCAGTTTGCTGAGTGGATCTGCCACTTACACAAACAGGTATTGTACACTACCCTTGTTTCACCAGGGAATAGACAGTGGTGGGCTTTGTTCATAACAGCAAAGACACAAGTTAGTTCTTTTCAGCCTGTGAACGTTGTATTTTGTATCCCTGTTGTTATGTGACTCGGGGCGGTGGGTAAAGCATTCGCTCATCCCGCCGAAGACCCGGGTTCAATTCCCCACATGGGGACAATGTGTGAAGCCCATTTCTGGTGTCCCCCGCCATGATATTGCTGGAATATTGCTAAAAGCGGCGTAAAACCAAACTCACTCACTCGCTCATTACATGACTCGAATATTAGTTAAGGTTGAGGTAAATAAAAGTCAATCACTCACTCACTCATCCTGATGTAACCCACACAGTATATCGGCTGTGACTTGAAGTTCTTGAGGAATTTGGGCCAGTGGTTGACATTAAGAGCAACATCTATCCGTATAGTATGACAAGATTTCGACCAAGTCACTGTGCCTGGCCAGACAATCTAAGACAAGCTGTGCCAACAGGAGAAGAGAACAGTGGTTTTTTTATCATAATAAATGCCTGTTCATATGTGGACATTTATTCTCAAACATCATGTCTGAGAGCAGTATTGAGAACTCAAGGGCTTTAAGGCTCCAAACAAGGACTGGTTAACACAGAGTCAGTATACTGTGTCCCTATATGCTCTGATCAAACAAAGTTGGTTTAAGCCTCTACCCTAAGCTTGACCTTGCAGTAGTCAGGTTATCAGTGACCTCAATGATGTTTGGATTATGAAATTATATAAGTTACATGACCTGAGTTGACCTGTTGCTGGTGTTGAGGTAGAGACATGTTTGTACACTGTTGCAGCCATGCCACGTTGTGTACACCGACTACCGACCCATCCCACTCCAGCACTACATCTTCCCTGCAGGCGGGGATGGGCTACATCTCGTTGTGGATGAAAACGTGAGTAACTCCCTTGGACCCTTCACACTCATCTACTGTTTTATTATGCTTATGGGGCGGTGGGGTAGCCTAATGGTTAAAGCGTTGACTCGTCACGCCGAAGACCCGGGTTGGAATCCCCACATGGGTACAATGTGTGAAGCCCATTTCTGGTGTCCCCCGCCGTGATGTTGCTGGAATATTGCTAAAAGCGGCGTAAAACCAAACTCAGTCAGTCAGTTATTATGCTTATTGTGTTGGTCTTATAAACTTGTCAAGCCTGAAATTGTTGTGTTTCTCAGCCTAGTGGAACAGATTAATGTGATCGAGACTGGGCATATGATATATTGCTTGTGTTGCAGACAGCCTGTTTCATATTCAGTTATTTGTCATGATGGACATGACGCTGTTTGATCTTCGAGTCCCTCTAGAGTTCATGGAGACATGTAGTTTGTATCTTCCTTCCATCAATGTATATTCTGTTGGTACATCATGTTGATATTGACTCCCCTGCAGTGAGTGATGACCCATCAATCGTTGTGTTACTGAATGAAATGTTTCAGGGAGATTTTCGAGAGGAGAACTTCAACACTGCGATGGGTGTACTGAAAGATGCAGGAGATGCTGCCAAGGGAGATCAGCGGGGACGAAAAGGTGGCTCCAAGAGTGAGTACAAAATAGAGTTATCTCCCAATGGCATACATGTTTTAGGTTTGATCAACAGGAATACAGGTTAATCTTAACAACACTCAGAGGTTTTAACTGTACCTTACACAGAAACATAATATACATGCTCAAAAATGAGATTTCTACAATTTTACCCCAAACTTTACCCCTAGATAACGGAACTATTAGGTGTATTTTAGCATATGCGTCAGGATAAGGTACTGTAAACGTAATATATTTCTCAAGAAGGTGGAACACTTTTTTATTTTCGCCACAAGAAAACATTTTAGCCGAAAATTTATACACCGCTTAATAAACCTGTCATTCATTCAGTCTAGCCACGCCTGATACACCTCTGAGTTGTTACCATAACACATCACGCTTTGAAGACAGAAATCAACGGAATCTTTAAAATGACGCACTGATCATACTTAACTGTCGCTGTAATGGATTTCCAAAACATAATTAAATAATGAGCCAAACCCATTGCCGTTTAATTAGCTCCCAAACAGAGGCTACTACTGACCGTCAAAAAACAGCAATGTGTGTTGTGGCCGCCATGGAAATTGGTCACATGACATGGTTTGATACAAAACAGATTACCGTGAAACGACTCGAAAGAAATAATACAGCAGTATTTTTATTTATTCATTAAGATTTTATTCACCAGTACATCATGAAGCTTAATAGTCACTAACACTCAATCATCTCATTCACAACAACCCGCTTGTTTGAAATCACAAAGAGCTTCATATACAGTATAAGTTAATTTATATCTCTTAATAATAGATGCTTGTTTATAATGGACAGTTGATTAATCTAATCACTGACTTCTTGACGAGTTGTACAGTCCCTCATGATTGCCTCCGTTCTCTCTCTCCCATAATACAATTATGTCATCGTACGTCATTCATGGAACTTGACATGGAGTGTACTTACATCGTTCATGATGGGCAACTGTTGCAGGTCACGAGTCCAACTGCTTCAAGATCGTCAAGATGATCATGGAGAGAAGCTTTGCCCCAGTCATTGTGTTCAGTTTCAGCCGGAAGGACTGTGAAGCATACGCAATGCAAATGGCCAAACTAGACTTCAACACAGGTCTGTACACAGGATGTGGTCTCATGAACCAGGAAGAAATACATTGTACTTTAGCTAGTGAAAGCTGATAAAATATAGGCAGAACATGAGTATGTTGGTGGCCTATGCCTTTAGTGTTGGGACAACATCAGTAGAATCAGGTCTTAGTTTTTAGATTTTAGACACAAAACAAAGACCTGAAAACGTCCTATTTCAGGTCTTGTCAACAACAACCTTTCATCAAGGCATTGTTTACCAGGCTGAGAAAGTGACAGAATGTGTCTTGTAAACATTCAACCTTGACAAAGTTAACTCAGCATCCCAAATGATAGTTACCGTATATTACCATAGACAAGCCGACCCCCTAACTTGACCCTTAAAATCAGTGTCAAACTTGGAATGTTTCCTACATTAGCCGACCCCTGCAATGGGGTCCTAATTGCGGCCAACTCAGACCACAAGACAAGTGGCAGTTACCGTCTTGGATGTACAATGCAAGTATGTTTGGTATGCTTCGTGTCACTAATTCCATGTGTCTCTCACTTTCATGTGGTAAACATTTGGAACAGATGAGACTTTCTGTGGACCCTGGACAGTAGTGCCATACAATCTCAACCTCTATTAGACATTCAAAAATGTTTCTTTGTTCTGTTTTCAAATTTTAAAGTGGTATTTTGTCAAGGTGAATTCGGAATGGAACTTGCCAGCCAGTGTGAGACAAGAGCTGTTTAACTTCAGGAAGCTGATTGTCTGATTGCCTGTTGTCGTCATGTTGTTCGTCTTTTTGATGGTCGGAGTTCATGAAACGTCATTCTCAATAATTGAAAGTTCTCAGATTTTTGTTCCAGAAGTATGATGAACTAAGGTCTGATGTTTGTGAGACTGTGTGTTTTTCATGCTTTATGTATTTGTCATAATGCTGTATTACAGAAGAGGAAAAGGGTTTGGTGGAGGAAGTGTTTAACAATGCAATAGACTCGCTCTCTGATGAAGACAAGAAACTACCACAGGTACAAATTTTACATTCATACATGTATGTGGCAACTGTTGTTTGCTTCTGTTGTCTAAATCTCAAAATTTCTTTTCATCACATCATAAACTCTTGTAGATTTTCAGCAGAGGTCCTCTTAACTTCCATCTTATCAGGGGCGGTGGGGTAGCCTAATGGTTAAAGCGTTGGCTCGTCACGCCGAAGACCCGGGTTCGAATCCCCACATGGGTACAATGTGTGAAGCCCATTTCTGGTGTCCCCCGCCGTGATGTTGCTGGAATATTGCTAAAAGCGGCATAAAAGCAAACTCAGTCAGTCCATCTTATCAAATTTGTGAGCTATTTTATTCTTAGATGTAGACATCAGCTGAGTGTAATGCTGACTACATCTGATTAACAGTGAATGAACTTGAGGCATTGGTGTGTGTGACAGTTTATTGAGACATATGGAGTGTAAGATTTTGATTATCAGCAGGGTTTTTTGTGTGTATATATATATCTAGCCAATATATATATAATGTGGACATATTTCTCAACCAGGTGGAGAATGTGCTGCCACTTCTGAAGAAAGGTGTTGGGATCCATCACTCAGGGTTACTTCCCTTGCTGAAAGAAACCATTGAAATTCTCTTCTCAGAAGGTCTCATCAAGGTAACGTACTCTACAGTGTCATTGCTTGAGCAGACATGTTTTTTTACAATCCAATAAATATGTAAATGAGGAACTAATTTTAAGCTGTGTACATAAATGCAATGTTTGACCAGTATCTTATTTACAGAGGCCATACCATCACTAACGACCCAAATGTCAGTGTTACAACAAATGTATTACCCTTGAGATGTTTTAGGTGTTTCATGCATGTTTTTCTGAACCCTTTTCATCCATTTCGCTTCTACTTCTGCCATGGTATCGGTCACAAAGTGTTTCAACATGATTGCTTTGGCAGACGAACATCATTGATGGATAGTCAGGGGGCATAACTCCTGGGAGCTTAAAACCTATGTTCTTTGGGACTTGTTATTTCAAATAATTCCAATCATTTGCCACCTCATAGATAAGAAATAGCATATTCTCAAATTATTTTGGGAAAAAGAACTGTTAATAATGATATTAGTTGAATTATTCAAGTGATTTGGATTTCAATGTCAAAGGTTGCAGACTGTCAAGGTCATCCATACTACCCACTGGAACAGGGTCAGATGGATTCAAACTACCCATGAATCTTAATGTTTCATATGCATTGGCTGTTAACTAATCAACAGTCTTTTCTAATTTATCTAAAGTGGGAAAATATATGATATTTTAGAGAGGTTATTACCCACATGTGTGTCTGTACAGTACATAGATAATCATACTGCAATTTTTATTGCTAACATTCCTGATATTTGGGACACAGAAACACACTTGCCACCCATGTTCGGTAATGCAGGTATCCATTCCCGTTGTTCAGAAATTACCTGCCCTTGATTTTCATTTACATTTTACTGACCAATGAAATGTCAATAAAACGGTAACAGAGATAACTCGTATAACGTGGAAACCAGAGCCACTGTCTGGACATGACATCCTATCCAAACAGAAAGAGTTTTTTCAGTGCTTTCTTTTTCATGTCAGTCAGTTTTTTAAATTAGATTTCTCATAAACTCAAGACTTGACTGGCCACCTTGTTGAAATCGCCAACTTAACATTGAGGCTGGTTTGCAACTCACATTCTGATAGGCACATAAGGCCACGTAGTAATCAAGGGGCAGGTAATTTCAAAATGCAGGAACCACTTGAATCCGAAATGCCAGCCCTGGAGATATTTTTATCCCACCGGCATATAATGCGGTGGGATATAGTCGTCGCCTCGTCCGTCTGTCCGTCCGTCCGTCCGTCCGTAATCATTTTGTTTCCGGACCATAACTCAAAGACCGTTCGATATTTTTTAACCAAAATTGGTAGATATGTCAAACATAACCTAAGGTGGTGCCTTTTGCTATTTACAGATAATTGTCATTTTTATTTTTCTCGGTTTCCATGGAAACGTTTTGGACTTAGTCTTAAAGAAGGGTGGGCTTCGTTTCCGGAGCATAACTCAAGAACCATTCAATATTTTTCAACAAAACTTGGTAGATATATCAAACAGATCCTAAAGTGGTGCCTTTTGCTATTTACAGATTTTTGGCATTTTTATTTTTCCCGGTTTCCATGGAAACAATTCGGACTTAGTCCCAAAAGTGAGGGTGGGCCGTTTCGAGAGCATAACTCAAGAACCGTTCAATATTTTTCAACAAAAGTTGGTAGATATATCAAACAGAACCATGAGTGATGCCTTTTGCTATTTGCAGATTTTTTGTCATTTTTTATTTTCCCGGTTTCCATGGAAACATTTTGGACTTAGTCTCAAAAAGTAAGGATTGCTTTTCGTTTCGGAGCATAACTCAAGAACCATTCAATATTTTCAACAAAACTTGGTAGATATATCAAACAGATCCTAAAGTTGTGCCTTTTGCTATTTGCAGATTTTTGGCATTTTTATTTTTCCGGTTTCCATGGAAACGATTCGGACTTAGTCCCCAAAGTGAGGGGGTGGAAGCCGTTTCGGGCATAACTCAAGAACCGTTTAATATTTTTGAACAAGACTTGGTAGATATATCAAACAGAACCTTAAGTGGTGCCTTTTGCTATTTGCATATTTTGGCATTTTTATTTTTCCCGGTTTCCATGGAAACGATTCGGACTTAATCCCAAAAGTGAGGGGTGGGCTTCGTTTCCGGAGCATAACTCAAGAACCGTTCAATATTTTTCTACAAAACTTGGTAGATGTATGAAACAGAACCTTAAGTGGTGCCTTTTGCTATTTGCAGATTTTTGGCATTTTTATTTTTCCCAGTTTCCATGGAAACATTTTGGACTTACTCTCAAAAAGTAAGGATTGCTTTCGTTTCCGGAGCACAACTCAAAAACCGTATAATATTTTTCAACAAAACTTGGTAGATATATCAAACAGATCCTAAAGTTGTGCCTTTTGCTATTTGCAGATTTTTGGCATTTTTATTTTTCCCGGTTTCCATGGAAACGATTCGGACTTAATCCCAAAAGTGAGGGGTAGGCTTCGTTTCGGAGCACAACTCAAAAACCTCTCTATATCTTTCAGCAAAACTTGGCAGATATGTGAGGCAGATCTTGAAGTGGTGCGAGATATTTTGTGATTTATTATTTTCTCAAGGTTTCCATGGAAATGATTTGACTTAGTCTCATTTGCAGATATTTGAAGGGCAGATTTATTATTTTGATTTTATTATTTCTCGGTTTCCATGGAAATGATAGGGCAGATCTTAGTGCCTTTTGCTATTTTGCAATAAGGAATTTTTCTCGGTTTCCATGGATGGGACTTAGTCTCAAAAAGGAAGGGATGGGTTTAAGTTTCGAACACAACTGGAAAACTTCTGAATATCTTTCAGCAAAACTTGGCAGATATGTGAGGCAGATGCCAAAGTGGTGCCTTTGCTATTTGCAGATATTTGTGATTTATTATTTTTCAGTTTCCATGGAAACAATTTGGACTTAGTCTCAAAAGGGAGGGGTAGGTTTTGTTTCCGGAGCACAACGCAAAAACTTCTTAATATCTTTCAGCAAAACTTGGCAGATATGTGAGGCAGATCCCAAAGTGGTGCCTTTTGCTATTTGCAGATTTTTGGTATTTTTATTTTTCATGATTTCCATGGAAACGATTTGCACTTAGTCTAAAATCAAGCTGGACTTTAAGTAACTGTCAGATGATTTGTTCTTTCAAAGATGTAGGGGCGAGGGGATATGTCATCTTCTGATGACTCTTTTTTAATGATGGTATTCTACATGTGCATCTAAACTTTTATAGCTTTCTCAGAATTGGTCCAAATGACATGGCTGTACAATCATGCAGACAGCAGTGCCATAGGAGCAGCAACCCTATGCATGTTACTAAACACCACTGGCCAGGACACAAGATGCCTGATCTTGTTCTGTGACAAATTCCCCTGTAGAACATCATGTAGTACTTTCTGTTGCAGGCACTGTTTGCTACAGAGACATTTGCCATGGGACTGAACATGCCTGCCAGAACCGTACTGTTTACAGCTGCCCGGAAGTTTGATGGCAAGGACTTCAGATGGGTAAGGAAATGCAGCGATATCTTTGGAAGGGCCTCAGTGATGGATCCAATGGTCAGGCTTGCTGATTTGTTGATTGCGTCTGTTCATAACCTGAAGATGGGGATTATTGCTGACAATGTCAATAAATGAATTTGCTGAATGTGGCATGGTACAACATATCATCGTATTTTTGGACACTTAAAAAACAGCCATTGTAGGGTTGATTCTCACGTGATCAACAGTAACATATGTCAGTAACCTTTTATAGACAGCATTATTATAACCACAAGCCATCATTTTACTATGTTCAGTCTGTGAGACACAACCCTCTGCGTTAGTGTAAGTAAACACTACGATTATAAAACATGTAAAAAAAAAGTGATCCAACAATACTAACACAGACATACATGCTATCTTACCAATTGATGATCAGTATAACCTGTGCTGCACATCTTGGGAAATACAGACTGATGGCATGTTTACAGTAAATAGCAGTTTCCATGCCACTAGGCTGTCAGAACCAAGTAGCTCCGCTCTATTGTGTGTCATCTCACAGCCATTGGAATCGTTTGTGACTACTTCAGAGAGAGAATTCATTCTGATGAATTTCTGCCATGACTGTTTCCAGGTGACGTCTGGTGAGTACATCCAGATGAGTGGTCGAGCTGGACGTCGTGGGTTGGACGAGCGAGGAATTGTCATCCTGATGGTGGACGAGAAGATGAGTCCGTCTGTCGGCAAAACACTTCTCAAGGTGGGAGTCTGCTGTGTAATATGTATCTGTACCAGTCCAGAACAATCTTAGCTCGACATTTGACAGTGCTTATATACTTAAATATGTGACGCCATATAGCTGGAACATTGCTGGGTGCTGCGTTAAACAACAAACCAACCAACTTCAAATATGTAGACTTTGGATTGTCGTATTCTCTTTCAGAAGAAGTCCTCCTTGGGGTACATATAAGCATTAAAATGTCCATTTTAAATCCTACGACAGTTGTTACTATATTTTTCAATAAAATATTTACAAAACAAAAAACTCGTTTTGTCTTGTGAGACCACCCCTACAGGGCTCCACCGGACCCCCTACAGCCAAGAGCAGGTAACTCTCGCCGTCTACCTCGTACCTCACTTTTCAATACCAATACGATGAGTGTAAAAGAGTCTCAATCTGTATGTATGGTTCCTTTCTTTACGCACGGGCGTTAGATGGACTTCATATGTTGATATTCTCATTCATCTTCTCCTCAAAAACCACTGCACAAAACTCATTTAGCTCTATATGTCTTTTATAGAGACTCTAAAGGTGTGCATCTCATATTTTGTTTTTGTATTTTATAGTTTTTTGTATGTTTAGAGACATTTGAACTTAGATAAATTTTGTTGAATTTCTCTCTGATGATAGTGAAATAGGGGATTAAGTCTATCCACTTCTCCACAAAAACTGCTCGACAGAATTGATTAAGCTTATACATGTGTTTCATTGGGACTCGAAAGGTGTGCATCTCATAGTTGCATAGATGTTTATTGAACTTGTTCATGAATTTTGTTCAATTATTGATCTTTATATGTCTTATGAATGTCAGCGGGGGCATCCGTGTCCCTGGACACAATTTTTTCTTGTTTCTACTTTGCATTGTATGTTTAGTATTTAAATGGCTGTAGCTTGTAGCATTTAAATATCGCCTCTGCGTTTTATTTATTGCTATTTACTTGTGTTTATATGTTTGCTGCTTCACAGTTCCTGCTAGTAACACTGGCGCGGTTCTGTTTGTTGCAGTTTAAGCCCTGTGCACACTACCGCCACAGGATGGTCATAAGGTGTGCCTCCGGTGTTTACCCGAGGACGCTCATGACAATCAAGGATGTTCATAATAAGAGCCCTTGCGTCAATATTCCTGTTACGTTATGTTGTGTTATGTTACACATACACATTTCATACGTTTATACACAACGTGGCTCATAGTGGCCAAGGTTGTGTTTGTTTGGTTTTTTTGCCTGGGTTTCTGCGCCTCACGCACATTCTTTCAGGCACGCAGATTTTATGTTTTTCACTAATCTGCTTCAGGCGGGGGATAATTTTGATGAAGGGTTTCTAAGGAAATCCCTTTATCGTCCCCACACCTACTCCTCCCCCACAAACAATGTTGCTACACTAACGATTGCTTTCTTACTTATAGCAGCAGCGGAGATCGTCTCAGCATGCTGTTATCTCAGACTTGATTTCCAGACTCCGAGAGGAGATTGGTACCCGGTCTACGGGTAGTGATTACACCAGCGCATCTTTTGGGGGAGGTCCCAACCAGAGCTCTGGCTCCGGGAAGGGTCCGACCTCCCGGGGACGATCGGACCCAGATCAGGGGACGTTCAGGGGACGTTCTGAACCTGGGGACTAGCACCGACTATTGACGCCCAGGCCAGGAGGCTATTGAGCATGACGGAGCTGCCGATCACCTCGACGCTTCGAGGTCTACCCGTGTACACCAGGGGAACCCTGCATTGTCAGGCTACTCCCAGGTGTTTCGGGATCGGGGTTCGAACTTGAACTGCCGACCCGAGCACTTATATATATATTATATATGTATATGTATGGGTATTTATATAGTGCTATAGGCTATATTTGACTATATGCTCAGTGCGCTTTTGGAGACAGTACTGGGGGAACCCTGATTTATCAGGCTACTCCTACGTGTCTTGGGATCGGGGTTTCGGCCTAGAACTGTCGAGCTTTGGCTCCGCGGATGCTCTGAACCCGTGAGTAGCACCGACCCGGGCTTCGGCACTGGTAGGGTGCAGTTTCCCGGCGCCGGTAGTTCAGGTCTCGGCCTGATGTCTATCGACGCCTTGACCAAGAAGCTATCGAGTGTGCCGGGAGTGTCGGTCACCTCGACACTCCCAAGTTCTGTCTGAGTGCCTGGGATACCCTGATTTATCAGGCTACTGCCATGTGCCTCGGGAACCGGGGTTCAGGCTCGTACAGTGCACAAGTCGATTTGAGCTTCGGCTCTTTTCGCTACTTTGAACTTAATACTGAGTAGGTTCGTTCCTGAGGCAAGTGCGAGATAGAATCGCGGCTGTGTTGCCTTAGGTGTTGTCCGTGTTGAATACCCGAACCGTTAGAGTTCGCCTCCCGGAGGGAAGTCTGCTTCCAGCAGGGCATCCGGGACAGGGCCTCACACTCTACCATCAGTCTGCCGTTGTTTCCCCGTTGTATGCTCCCCTCGGCGGATCTCTCAGCTCCGCTGAGGGAGCTGGTGGAAAGGGGAAAGAGTGCCGGTGATTTTTCATCGGCGACTCAGGGTGGCATCTGATGAAGGTCAACTCTCATCTGGCTAGGGACTGCATTGTATCTGTGCCAGCCAAATGATGAGTGCGGTTATGGGCCTATGGCGCCCGGGACTGTTTCGAGGAATACGGAAGTCTGTCGAGCTTCTCGTTAATCCCTCAGGTGCCAAGGCACCGACAAAAGTTATGTTGCCGACTGCAGTGGTTTACTGTATTCTGCTACAACCCCGGTAGAAGTGTGACACGCCAGTGTCTGCTTCCCGGGGGAGGGCGAAAATACTCCGTGCCTAGATCCAGTCTCTGCTGGGCAAGGCAACCATCGAGGTGGTTTCCAATGGTCAGGAAAATGTGGGGTTTGACTCCATTTATTTCCTTGTTGCCATTAAGAATGGAATGTTCAGACCCATTCTCATCTGAGAGCCGAACAAGTTAATAGAGGTACTGTCCTTCAAGATGGAGACACCGAGCTTTGTGAACTCATCTGTCGAGACAGGGGATTGGCGCACGTCAATCGACCTCGAGGTCGCGTACCTCCTTGTCTATTGCACCCTGATTTCAAGATTTACCTTCGGTTCTTGTTCGACGGGACGTGCTACCAGTTTCGTGTGCTCCCCTTAGGCTACATTACGGCGCCAAGGGTGTTCACCAAATTGAGGTTTATTACAGCCCAGATAGCCAGATCGCAGCTAGTGCCGGTGTTGTCACCCGTACCTAGGCGACTGGCTCATCGGGGTTTTAGAATAACAGTTGAGTCTGGGAACCTCACGATCAGTGTTGGTCACTCTTACGAAACTGTGCCGAATTGTCAACCTCATGCAGTCAGATGGACAGATGTCAGGCGTCTCTCTGAGGGATTCACCCTGGAGACACCGTCGCTCTCAGTCCAGCCAGATACATCCCTGGTGTGCAGATAGGGTGATTTCAGAATCCCTATTCTGCGGATTTAGTTCGGATATTGGAGTTACTATAATCTCGTTTTGGTTGAGAGGCTTATGACCTCCACCATTCCCGGGTAGTCATGGCTTTTTCCACGTTTCACACCTCATTCGATGGTGTTCTGCCTAGGCAGCACCCTCTCGTACATCGCTTCGTAGCTGGCATGAACAGGGTTCGACCGCCTCGGCGGCGACTGAGCCCACCTTGAAATTGCCAATTATTCTCAATTGGCTGTCTGGCCCTGACTTTTCAAGTATATCGTCTCTCTCACTTCACTTGTTGATGTGGAAGACGGCTTTACTTGTGGTGGTGAGCTCTGGTAGAAGGGTCGGGTACATCCATGCGATACCCACTGACCCGACACTGACAGTATTTTATACTGATCATGTCCGTATTCGCATCCCGGATACCTACCACTCTCAGTTAGATATTGCTTTCCACGTGACTGCTCATAACGAACTTCCACCCCTTACCCAGCCTTCCACACCGGGGACCGATCTTTCGATTGCTCACCCGTTGGAGTGAGTTCTATTTCCCGTTGGTTCTATTTCCCGCCCTAGCCACGCCCCCGCCTGATTGACATCAGCGGTCAGGTGGCTCGGTAAGTGTGTTTTTTCTATTTCCGTATCGGTTGTAGATATTGCTTTCCACGTGACTGCTCATAACGAACTTCCACACCTTACCCAGCCTTCCACACCGGGGACCGATCTTTCGATTGCTCACCCGTTGGAGTGACTATAACGAAACGAACGAAAGGGATCCGTACGGGGACCCATGTGTTCTGTTTGGTGGCGGGAAGACTGGGGAGTCTGCTAGCAAGCGGACTTTATCTCGTTGGCTTGTTTCCGTAATTGTTCGGTTACAATGCTAAGGTTTACCTTCCCCCGGGGGGTTGAAGGCAGACTGGGCAGGGCAGATGCCGCTTTATTGACAATACACAGCGGCACTGCTCAATGAAGAGATCGGTTCTGTCGCTCTTTGGAGCCGGCAGAACGCCTTCATTCGCCATTACCGACTTGACACGCCGGGTTTTATCGAGGTCCCGGCAAGCCTTCTTCCAAACAGGAGGGGTGCATTCGAGCATTAGTTTGCAGTACTTATTAGCTCGACTCCTGGGTTATTGGCTTTTAAACGTTTTTTACGCTTTTCCTTCCCTTATACCTCTCGCCACGCTTCTCTGGTTCGGGCTATTAAGGCTTGGAGTTGTTTCGGCATGTCCCCATACATTCCTTTCCATTGTAGTGGTTAGGGGTGGGGTTTTATGTCATAATTGATTTGAGCCAATTGACGTATTAGCTTGGGCTCTCTATTTTCCGCCCTAGCCACGCCCCCGCCTGATTGACATCAGCGGTCAGGTGGCTCGGTAAGTGTGTTTTTTCTATTTCCGTATCGGTTGTAGATTTCACTCCACCACAGGTTTATTTGTTGCCAGACAGAATGCCACTCCCGTCTCAAATATCTTTGGGAGTCTGTCTTATGCTTATATGTACCCCAAGGAGGACTTCTTCTGAAAAAGAATTATACAAACCTGTAGAGGTTATGAATTCTTTGAAGAAAGTCCTCCTTGGGGTACGGCCACCCGCCTCCCCTCATTCTGTCTGATACGTTCAGCATGAAAAGTGAGGTACGAGGTAGACGGCGAGAGTTACCTGCTCTTGGCTGTAGGGGGTCCGGTGGGGCCCTGTAGGGGTGGTCTCACAAGACAAAACGAGTTTTTTGTTTGTAAATATTTTATTGAAAAATATAGTAACAACTGTCTTAGGATTTAAAATGGACATTTTAATGTTTATATGTACCCCAAGGAAGACTTTCTTCAAAGAATTCATAACCTCTACAGGTTTGTATAAGTTTTAATGTCACTTTCTGAGCTACAGGGTCCATGGTGGAGTCCAGTGAACTCTGCAGTAGACAGGGATGCCATTCCATATGTAACTCTAACACAAATTGACACATATTAAAACTACTGCAATCTTGACTGAGAAAATTACTGAAAGGAATTTAAATAAATGCTTATTGTTATCATCGTTCAAAGATTCAGCAGAGAGTGTAATTTTTAACCTTATCCCATCTCACGACTTGCACCTCTCTCTTTCGCTTTGACTGCAAACTTTTTTCCATGGGCCTCCTTGTCCATTCGCCCGTGCACTCCATGCTGCTCTCCTTAATTAGCTTCCTATATCCTAATGAAGCTTGCAGCATGCTCCACTAATTGCCCACATGCCTACCTTGAATGATCATTCTCTTTTTTGTCGCACGACTGTGTGGACGTGCTGTATAATAGGGACATTATTTCACCCTAACATCATGGGGAAAACAGATAATCAGTCAAGGAAATGGAAAGTTTGTGGTCAATGCAAGACGAATTATTCGTCCCTCGACCCCCACTCATCTTGCAGTGACTGTACTGGACAATGTAACTGGAACAAACGATGTAGAAAGTGTAATTCACTAAAAGATGAGGATTTTAAGGCCTACCTTCGTGTTTGCTCCTGGAGAATCGCCGATAGGGACAGGGAATCAACAGAATCTGATCACACTCCGCCAAGCGTATCAAGTTACAGCAACAGAAAATCGTACCTTCACACAAAAGAGCGACGTCTGTTTTTTAAGAGGATTTTATGGACGCTTCATCAGATTCTTACTTATCTGAGCACGTTCGGCACCTATTACGTGCGCATCAATCACCTCCTTCCACAGCGTCAGATAACTCGCGGGTGGTTGTGATCGATAATCCATCGTTGCCTGTCCCATCTACACTACCAGGGGACCTTAGATCGACACTATCATCTGTACATATCCCCTTGACTGTCATCACGAATCAACACTTCAGGTTTCGTCACCTAATCGCTGATCCAGATCGCCACATCATTCCAGATCACCACAAAGATCTAGATCACCTTCACGATCCAGATCACCATCACAAACCCGATCTAGATCACTGTGCCGATCCAGATCGAAACTTCGAATCAGATCACCGAACTGATCCAGACCACCTAGCCGATCCAGATCACCGAACCGATCCAGATCACAACATCGAAGTAGATCACCGGACCCATCCAGATCACCGAATGGATCCAGATCACAACTTCAAATCAGATCACCGGACCCTTCTAGATCACCTAACCGATCCAGATCACAACATTGAAGTAGATCACCTAGCCGATCCAGATCACCAAATCAAGTTAGATCGCAACTGCAAACCAGATCACCTTATAGATGCAGATCATGATCACAGTTTCCAGTTAGTGCATTGAATCGATCCAGATCACTTTACAAATCCATATCATCTTACCGACCAAGGTCACCTATACGATCTATATCACCTTACAGAGCCATTGACCAATCAGGATCACAGTAAAGATCCACATCTCATGGCCGATTCTATTCAGATGGTCGAACCAGAGCTCCAATCAGAACCAGATCACCAACTAGAACTACAGCAACCCGGACTAGTTCTTTATATCATACTGGATCACCTAGCCATGCTAGGGAATCCAGATCACTGGCTTACCAACCTATTTCGGTACTTACCAGGTCGAAATCTCGATACAGTTCCTCTAACCGACATTCGGGTGATCATTGTTCTGACACCACTAATATGCCTACAGTCTCTTACAATGTTCCGCTATGATCAGGTTCTTCCATCTCATCGACTCACTCAACATCGTTACCAGAGCCAGACACATTCCCGGGGTTAAAAATGTGCCTTGTCCCGGTCCAACTGACCGTCCCCGACAAAGTGGAAGCTACTGCCCCAGATCTTTCAGTCGATCTACCCCTTTATCACGGCCTCAAATAGATCTGTTCGCCACAAGGTTCAACAACCAACTTCCAAAGTTCGTATCACCAATCCAAGACCCATGGCTTGGGACCTCGACGCGCTGGCAATATCATGGGAGGGTCTCAATGCCTATGCGTTCCCCCCTCCAGCTTGCTACCAAAAGTAATACAGAAACTATTGGCCATCAGCAACATACTACTGCTTTTGGTCGCACCTTTCTGGCCAGCAAGAAGTTGGTTCGTCAACCTAAGAAGCCTGGCAGAGCCAAACCCAGTACCGCTTCCCAACCGGGACGACCTACTTCTTCACCCTCACTCAGAATTGCGCCACGGGTCACCTCAGACCCTCAATCTACACGTTTGGCACATCTTCAGAGATCTCTCATAGCTAAGGGCTACTCTCGCCGAGTGGCCACGGCTATCACTTCATCGCATCGTACTTCGACCAGTTCCTTGTACGACAACAAGTGGAAGAAGTTTGAAGACTATTGCAAGGTTAGGGGAATTGCATCTCCCACTTCCATCTCCGCACTACTAAGAAATTCAAGGGTACTACGTTAGCTACCTACTTAGCCGCCATTAACTCGGTTTTGGCTACCACCACGGGCATGAAGATTTCCACTGTTCCCGAGTTGCAGAGTCTACTACGCTCCGATAGACTCTCTTACCAGTCCAGGAAGTTCAGACCTCGGGCCTTGATTCTGTCCGTCGCCCTTCGTCATATGATTTCTACAGACTATGAACCTTTAGAAGACAAGGACTTTGAACAAGGACATTCAAGACATTCTTCCTGGTAGCTTTGGCTACCGCTGCTTGTATATCTGAACTGCAAGCGCTTGATGTCCATCGGGTGTGGTTCAAGCGGAAGAAGCATGGCAAGGCTTTCCTGGGTCTCAGCTGGGACTTCATTGCGAAAAAACAACTGCCAAGGCAACCGGACGGATGTTTACCATTCCCCTGTTGTCCACCATTCTTGGGCCTGATGATAATGAAGATTTGACACTCTGCCCTGTTAGGGCTCTACACGTTTACCTTGCTGCCTCCAAGGATCGTTGATGGCTACGAAAGCGCCACTTCATGCCCTTGTCGACCGCTTCAAGAACTGAGGTTTCCGGGAGCACATTGGCCTTCTGGATGCGTGCCACGATCCTGCGAGCCTACACCTTTGCAGGGTTGCCTCCTCCAGCCGCTTCCAATCCTCATGAGACTCGTGCACTAGCCTCGACGATGGCCCTCCATAGTAACTGCTCCTTGACCGCTATCATGGAAGGTTGCTTCTGGCATTCTGATAGAGTCTTCTCTTCACATTACCTGCGAGACCTGTCTGTCACAGATGTCCAGGGACTACACCAGTTCGGACCATTTCGGAGGCGAGGCCTACTTGCCGAGTTGCGTCCCTTGTCTTGTACAAGGTTGCGGCCGAACACCACATCGCTCAGGAGCACCCATCTCCCTGGGAGTCTCTCCACTACAAGCATAGGAGTTGCGTGCAGGCGTAACAGGCCTCCCTTGTACATTATTATCTACGGTTGTCACCAGTCCACACAGCTCCGAGACCAGCTGTTCGCACTGTCCAGACAGTAGGGTAATCTGCGGCCCGCCATCCAACCGTGGGATAAGTGCAAGTCGTGAGATAGGATAAGTTTAGAAATTTGAAAATTTTAATATAAATTGTATGTTTATATACTTATCCTATCTCACGCGATGGATGCTCGCTCGGCCTCCCCACTACCCTGATTACAACGTTGGCTCCAAGATGAGAATGATCATTCAAGGTAGTCACATGGGCAATTAGTGGAGCATACTGCAAGCTTCATTAGGAACTAGGAAGCTAATTAAGGAGAGCAGCATGTAGTGCACGGGCGAATGGACAAGGAGGCCTATGGAAAAAGTTTGCAGTCATTCCACTAAAAGTCGAGAAGCGAGAGAGAGAGGTGCAAGTCGTGAGATAGGATAAGTATATAAATATACAATTTATATTAAAATTTTCAATTTCATTCAAAATAAGCACTGGCATTCAAGAATCAGATGAATAAATATTTGATGTGTTTTTAGAAGTATTACAAATTAAAACATTGCAGCATCAAATAGTAGTCAGTACAAAATGAAGAGAACATACTTGAACATACCTCCTCCTCCCCCTACGCAGGGCCTGCCTGATCCCCTGAACAGCGCCTTCCACCTGACGTACAACATGGTGCTCAACCTGCTGCGGGTGGAGGAGATCAACCCAGAGTACATGCTGGAGAGATCCTTCTACCAGTTCCAGAACTATGCCGCCATCCCTGACCTTGTGGAGAGTACGTTCATACAGATATGTTACAGGCTTTACGATCATATAATAGTGCTGGGCTTTTGCTAACTGTAGCTGCTAATTAGGAGGGCTGACCTTTTAGGTTCAAATCTACCTCTACAGTTAACAGCACCAATTCAGGAAAAAGCCATTTGTTGCAAATACTGAGATTGATGGTTTCTTTCTGGATCGTCCTTTAAATTTATTAAATGAAGTTTGTAGGACTCTAATTGTTGTCTGATCTCTATCCTTCATTTTTTGCTATGTGTTACTATCTATGTTACTGAGTTTGTAGATGTGGTTTCCCTTTTCATGATTGTTGCTCTGTTCGTGTTTGTTCATGTTTGTTCATGATTCAGAGCTGCGTCGGAAGGAGGAAGACTACAGGTCCATGAAGATCCAGAACGAGGACCAGGTGTCATCATACTTCAAGATCCGTCAGCAGCTGGACAACCTGGGCCAGGACATGATGCACTTCATACAGAAACCTGCCTACCTGCTCCCCTTCCTGCAGCCTGGAAGACTCGTCAAGGTAGGACACTCACACCTGTAGACACACTCATCAAGGTAGGACACTCACACCTGTAGACAGGCTCATCAAGGTAGGACACTCACACCTGTAGACAGGCTCATCAAGGTAGGACACTCACACCTGTAGACAGGCTCATCAAGGTAGGACACTCACACCTGTAGACACACTCATCAAGGTAGGACACTCACACCACACCTGTAGACATCAAGGTGGGACACTCACACCTGTAGACAGGCTCATCAAGGTGGGACACTGTAGACACACACATCAAGACAGGCTCACTCATCGTGTAGGGCACACCTGTAGACAGGCTCATCAAGGTAGGACACTCACACCTGTAGACAGGCTCATCAAGGTAGGACACTCACACCTGTAGACAGGCTCATCAAGGTAGGACACTCACACCTGTAGACAGGCTCATCAAGGGTGGGACACTCACACCTGTAGACAGGCTCATCTCAATCAAGGTAGGACACTCACACCTGTAGACAGGCTCATCAAGGTAGGACACTCACACCTGTAGACAGGCTCATCAAGGTAGGACACTCTCACACCACCATCAAGGTAGGACACTCACACACCTGTAGACACACTCATCAAGGTAGGACACTCACACCTGTAGACACACTCATCAAGGTGGGACACTCACACCTGTAGACAGGCTCATCAAGGTGGGACACTCACACCTGTAGACACACTCTCGTCAAGGTAGGACACTCACACCTGTAGACACACCTCTCGCCAAGGTGGGACACTCACACCTGTAGACACACTCATCAAGGTAGGACACTCACACCTGTAGACACACTCATCAAGGTGGGACACTCACACCACACCTGTAGGACACACACTCTCTCATCAAGGTAGGAGGGACACTCAACCTGTGAGACACACTCATCAAGGTAGGACACTCACACCTGTAGACACACTCATCAAGGTAGGACACTCACACCTGTAGACACACTCATCAAGGTGGGACACTCACACCTAGACACACACCTGTATGTGGGACACACTAGATCACTCATCAAGGGGACACTCACACCTGTAGACAGGCTCATCAAGGTGGGACACTCTCACACCTGTAGACAGGCTCATCAAGGTGGGACACTCACACCTGTGAGACACACTCATCAAGGTAGGGACACTCACACCCTGTAGGCACACTCATCAAGGTAGGGACACTCACACCTGTAGACACACTCATCAAGGTAGGACACTCACACCTGTAGACAGGCTCATCAAGGTAGGACACTCACACCTGTAGACAGGCTCATCAAGGTAGGACACTCACACCTGTAGGCAGACTCGTCAAGGTAGGACACTCACACCTGTAGACACACTCATCAGGTAGGGGACACTCTCACACCTGTAGACAGGCTCATCAAGGTAGGGACACTCACACCTGTAGACAGGCTCATCAAGGTGGGACACTCACACCTGTAAGACAGACTCATCAAGGTAGGACACTCACACCTGTAGACACACTCATCAAGGTAGGACACTCACACCTGTAGACACACTCATCAAGGTAGGACACTCACACCTGTAGACAGGCTCATCAAGGTAGGACACTCACACCTGTAGACACACTCATCAAGGTAGGACACTCACACCTGTAGGCAGACTCATCAAGGTAGGACACTCACACCTGTAGACACACTCATCAAGGTAGGACACTCACACCTGTAGACAGGCTCATCAAGGTAGGACACTCACACCTGTAGACAGGCTCATCAAGGTAGGACACTCACACCTGTAGGACAGACTCGTCAAGGTAGGACACTCACACCTGTAGACACACTCATCAAGGTAGGACACTCACACCTGTAGACACACTCATCAAGGTAGGACACTCACACCTGTAGACACACTCGTCAAGGTAGGACACTCACACCTGTAGACACACTCGTCAAGGTAGGACACTCAACCTGTAGACACACTCATCAAGGTAGGACACTCAACCTGTAGACACACTCATCAAGGTAGGACACTCACACCTGTAGACACACTCATCTAGGTAGGCTCACCCTTAGACACACTCAGGTAGGGACACTCACACCTGTAGACACACTCGTCAAGGTAGGACACTCAACCTGTAGACACACTCGTCAAGGTAGGACACTCACACCTGTAGACACACTCATCAAGGTAGGACACTCAACCTGTAGACACACTCGTCAAGGTAGGACACTCACACCCAAAGACACACTCATCAAGGTAGGACACTCACACCTATAGACACACTCATCAAGGTAGGACACTAGACAACTGTAGACACACTCATCAAGGTAGGACCCCTTAGACACACTCATCAAGGTAGGACACTCACACCTGTAGACACACTCGTCAAGGTAGGACACTCAACCTGTAGACACACTCGTCAAGGTAGGACACTCAACCTGTAGACACACTCATCAAGGTAGGACACTCACACCTGTAGACACACTCATCAAGGTAGGACACTCACACACCTGTAGACACACTCATCAAGGTAGGACACTCACACCTGTAGACACACTTTCTCAGGTAGGACACTCAACCTGTAGACACTTTCGTCACAAGGTAGGACACTCATCAAGGTAGGACACTCACACCTATAGGGACACTCATCAAGGTAGGACACTCACAAGGTAGGGACACTCACACCTATAGACACACTCATCAAGGTAGGACACTCAACCTGTAGACACACACTCGTCAAGGTAGGACACTCAACCTGTAGACACACTCGTCAAGGTAGGACACTCACACCCTAAGACACACTCGTCAAGGTAGGACACTCACACCCTAAGACACACTCGTCAAGGTAGGACACTCAACCTGTAGACACACTCTCGCCAAGGTAGGGACACTCAACCTGTAGACACACACTCATCAAGGTAGGACACTCAACCTGTAGACACACTCATCAAGGTAGGACACTCAACCTGTAGACACACTCGTCAAGGTAGGACACTCAACCTGTAGACACACTCGTCAAGGTAGGACACTCACACCCTAAGACACACTCATCAAGGTAGGACACTCACACCTGTAGACACACTCATCTAGGTAGGACACTCAACCTGTAGACACACTCATCAAGGTAGGACACTCACACCCTTAGACACACTCATCAAGGTAGGACACTCAACCTGTAGACACACTCGTCAAGGTAGGACACTCAACCTGTAGACACACTCGTCAAGGTAGGACACTCACACCTGTAGACACACTCATCAAGGTAGGACACTCAACCTGTAGACACACTCATCAAGGTAGGACACTCAACCTGTAGACACACTCGTCAAGGTAGGACACTCAACCTGTAGACACACTCGTCAAGGTAGGACACTCAACCTGTAGACACACTCGTCAAGGTAGGACACTCACACCTGTAGACACACTCGTCAAGGTAGGACACTCAACCTGTAGACACACTGTCAAGGTAGGACACTCAACCTGTAGACACACTCATCAAGGTAGGACAAAAGATATACAAGATCATTATCATATGTTCATGTATCTTGTATAGTAACTGGTGTACCCCATCATCCCTCATATGCTTGAAAATGGTATGAGAAGCTATACCGAAACGTCGCTATTGTGAAAATGTGGAAGTTGATCATCCATAAAGTTTTGTCATCTACATAACTGTTTTGAATGAGTCTCTTTCATGATGATAATGATGGAAATTGGAAAACTAAAAAAACAGCAATGTGGCATATTGGTTTTCATTCATTATCACAACTCTGTGGAGATATGGATTGTATTGCATCTAAACATTCATAAGTGTACCATGACCATGCCCTCAACAAGCCCACACTTGCTGACTGCAGAGTTCTCTGTTTTGTCAGGTGAAGAACAAAGAAGATGACTTCGGCTGGGGTATTGTATAAGAATGGCTTCGGCGGGGGTGTTGTCATCAACTTCCAGAAGAAGATGGATCAGAGCAAGGTAGACTGGAGCAGCCATTGTATAAGAATGTACAACCATTGTATAACTGTGAACAGCCATGGTATAAGAATGTACAGCCATTGTATACCTGTGAACAGCCATGGTATAAGAATGTACAGCCATTGTATAACTGTGAACAGCCATGGTATAACAAGAATGTACAGCCATTGTATACCTGTGAACAGCCATGGTATAAGAATGTACAACCATTGTATAACTGTGAACAGCCATGGTATAAGAATGTACAACCATTGTATACCTGTGAACAGCCATGGTATAAGAATGTACAACCATTGTATAACTGTGAACAGCCATGGTATAACAAGAATGTACAGCCATTGTATAACTGTGAACAGCCATGGTATAAGAATGTACAACCATTGTATAACTGTGTGAAAAGTGGATGGTTTCTAATATGTTTGTAAGGATGCTGTAATAGCCCTTCTGCTCTGAAGACACCAAGGGCTGGAAAGACCAGGAAGGGTACCCCACATTCCCTGCCTGAAACATCTAGAGTTTTGTTTTTAGTGATGGAACTACTGGTGTGTTTCAGGCAACCGATGACACAGGCCCTCTCTACATAGCGGAGGTACTGATGTATATCACCAAGGAAAGTGCAAAATCTCGTAGAACAACCGACATAAAGCCTTGTCCCAAAGATCAGCGTGGAGAAATGCAGGTAGGTGTGTAATAGAAATAACAGTCCTGATATTCATTCAGGGGAGTGTGTAGTTGTAGACAATAGCTGCTGTTACACAGCAACAGAAACTGTGGAGTAGACCTGATGGAAGATGTCCCTTCTCCTGATTGACAGTTCTGTGTGCAGGTTGTACCGGTGTTGACGACTCTGATTGAGGGAATCAGTGCAATCCGACTGTATGTCCCGCAGGACCTCAAGAGTCATGACAAGCGACAGAGTGTCTACAAGTCTCTCCAGGTCAGTATCTAGCCCAGGAGCATCATGTTCTAGTAGACTGTAGTATCTGTAGCTGATGTCTCACAGAGTCAGTATCTAGCCCAGGAGCATCGTGTTCTAGTAGACTGTAGTATCTGTAGTTGATGTCTCACAGAGTCAGTATCTAGACCTGGAGTGTCATGTTCTAGTAGACTGTAGTATCTGTAGTTGATGTCTCACAGAGTCAGTATCTAGCTCAGGAGCATCGTGTTCTAGTAGACTGTAGTATCTGTAGTTGATGTCTCACAGAGTCAGTATCTAGACCTGGAGTGTCATGTTCTAGTAGACTGTAGTATCTGTAGTTGATGTCTCACAGAGTCAGTATCTAGCTCAGGAGCATCGTGTTCTAGTAGACTGTAGTATCTGTAGTTGATGTCTCACAGAGTCAGTATCTAGCCCTGGAGTGTCATGTTCTAGTAGACTGTAGTATCTGTAGTTGATGTCTCACAGAGTCAGTATCTAGCCCTGGAGTGTCATATTCTAGTAGACTGTAGTATCTGTAGTTGATGTCTCACAGAGTCAGTATCTAGCTCAGGAGCATCGTGTTCTAGTAGACTGTAGTATCTGTAGTTGATGTCTCACAGAGTCAGTATCTAGCCCTGGAGTGTCGTGTTCTAGTAGACTGTAGCTGATGTCTCACAGAGTCAGTATCTAGCCCTGGAGCATCGTGTTCTAGTAGACTGTAGCTGATGTCTCACAGAGTCAGTATCTAGCCCAGGAGCATCGTGTTCTAGTAGACTGTAACTGATGTCTCACAGAGTCAGTATCTAGCCCTGGAGCATCGTGTTCTAGTAGACTGTAGCTGATGTCTCACAGAGTCAGTATCTAGCCCAGGAGCATCGTGTTCTAGTAGACTGTAACTGATGTCTCACAGTGTCAGTATCTAGCCCTGGAGTGTCATGTTCTAGTAGACTGTAACTGATGTCTCACAGAGTCAGTATCTAGCCCAGGAGCATCGTGTTCTAGTAGACTGTAACTGATGTCTCACAGTGTCAGTATCTAGCCCTGGAGTGTCATGTTCTAGTAGACTGTAGTTGATGTCTCACAGAGTCAGTATCTAGCCCAGGAGCATCGTGTTCTAGTAGACTGTAGTATCTGTAGCTGATGTCTCACAGTGTCAGTATCTAGCCCTGGAGTGTCATGTTCTAGTAGACTGTAGTATCTGTAGTTGATGTCTCACAGAGTCAGTATCTAGCCCAGGAGCATCATGTTCTAGTAGACTGTAGTATCTGTAGTTGATGTCTCACAGAGTCAGTATCTAGCCCTGGAGTGTCATATTCTAGTAGACTGTAGTATCTGTAGTTGATGTCTCACAGAGTCAGTATCTAGCCCTGGAGTGTCATATTCTAGTAGACTGTAGTATCTGTAGTTGATGTCTCACAGAGTCAGTATCTTGCTAGCCCAGGAGCATCGTGTTCTAGTAGACTGTAGTATCTGTAGTTGATGTCTCACAGAGTCAGTATCTAGCCCTGGAGTGTCATGTTCTAGTAGACTGTAGTATCTGTAGTTGATGTCTCACAGAGTCAGTATCTAGCTCAGGAGCATCGTGTTCTAGTAGACTGTAGTATCTGTAGTTGATGTCTCACAGAGTCAGTATCTAGCCCTGGAGTGTCATGTTCTAGTAGACTGTAGTATCTGTAGTTGATGTCTCACAGAGTCAGTATCTAGCCCTGGAGCATCGTGTTCTAGTAGACTGTAACTGATGTCTCACAGAGTCAGAATCTAGCCCAGGAGCATCGTGTTCTAGTAGACTGTAACTGATGTCTCACAGAGTCAGTATCTAGCCCTGGAGTGTCATATTCTAGCAGACATTATTCTTACTGATGGAATGTTGTATCATTGCAGGAAGTAGAGAAGCGCTTCCCAGATGGCTTACCTCCCCTTGATCCTATAGAGGATATGGGCATCAAGGACAAGAAACTCCAGGAAATCATAAAGGTGGGCCTGCCATTGATACTGCCATCAGAACCACTCACAATACCCTCCAAGCAACACACACAAGTCCTGGCGTTTTGGTTTCAATCTTGTCAATACTGATTCTTGTTCATTATCCGAACTTATCCAGTGATCTGGGCCCCATTTACAAGGCTGTCGTTGCGCTACAACTATCGTTAGTCAGTGTTACAGTATTAGGAAGTAGGAATGCTACGAGGAAAGTTACGAGATCTTAGGCTTACGGGAGCTTTGTGAAACGGGGCCATTCACAACGCAATCTTAGCTCCCTTGTGATCGTAACTCCCATACTATATCCCAACACGAGCTGAATTCAACGTTCTGGTGATTTCGACGATTGCATGAGTACATGAGTATGTGTGTGATCGGAGTGCACAAACAGTTTCACTGGTAGGGCGGGTACCCTGTCTCTGTCGTGAGAAGTTTTATTGATAATGGAAATCGGGAAGTAAAGTTATATAAAAAGCAAACAAACATCAATATTATTTACCCGAGATCGTTAATACCACATCAGATGCAAAATCAGTTGCCTTTATAACAAAAAATAGAAAGCGAAAATTCAGTTAGATCAGTCGTCTGCTGGTGACAGGCAATATATAAATAGGAAGCCACGTGATCACAACACTCCCTCGCAGTGCGGAGCAAAAAGTATGGCTCATCGTCGAAAACCCATACAAAATAGGGGCAGTGGGGTAGCCTAGTGGTTAAAGCGTTGGCTCGTCACGCCGAAGACCCGGGTTCGATTCCCCACATGGGCACAATGTGTTAAGCCCATTTCTGGTGTCCCCCGCCGTGATATTGCTGGAATATTGCTAAAAGCGGCGTAAAACTAAACTCAGTCAGTCAGTCAGCCATACAAAATAACCGCATGTTACGAGTGGCAACAGTTTCGCCGATACGATGCCATCAACACTCTTTTTGTAGGGAACACTTGATATTTTTGCGTGAAATAGATGAATATATCCTTTATCACTCAGGGTTAGTAAAATAAAAACTTTAAATGATATTAAAGATAAAAAATACGTTTTTATCTTACATCGTCGAAAACCCGACACCGGGATAACATTAGGTTATGATCATCATAGGACTGAGATTGCTTTGTGAAGTGGAAGCCTGTTCCTCAAGAAATTCAAATATATTCTGTAACTCTTTAAAATATTTTTGTGTCTTACATCTTATGTGGCAACTTTACATAATTATTCTTTGCAGAAAACAGAAGCCTTCGAACATCGTTTATACTCTCATCCGCTCCATAAGGATCCCCAACTGGAGGAGTTGTACTCCTTGTATGACAAGAAAACTCGGGTAGGTTGCGTGTACTCTTTTTGTGTGAATGGGTGGATGCTATACACCTTGTATGACATAGTCTCAGGTAAATGAAGTGATGCTATGCTCCTAGTATGACATTTTCACGTTTGGTAACTCCACTAATTGCGTGTCATTGTATATCAAGACGTGGGATATCGATTGGTCTTGCCCAGATTGGACTATTTACAGTTTACTCTGATATTGCTGGAATATATAGATCGCAGTGATGAACAAGATTTGTTGGATGGTATACATTCTGGAGAACTCACCTTCCAGCTTGGTAATGAGGTGAAGGCCATCAAGTCAGAGCTGAAGAAGAAGAAGTCCCTGCTGCAGATGGATGAACTCAAGTGTCGAAAGCGTGTTCTCCGGAGAATGGGGTACGCAACCAGCTCTGATGTCATCGAGATCAAAGGCCGGGTGGCGTGTGAGATAAGCAGGTAATTGTTTTGTTTATGACTCCATGTCCGGTGTACACTTAGAGTCGATTGTGATGACAACAGCCTGAGAGAAAATGTCCATCCAAGTTAGATGTACTCTGTTGTCTCCACACATTGTGTAGCAAGAGTGAACTTTATAGGCTCGGGAGGAACCAGGGTCTAATAACTCCAGATATCTTGACATATAGTGGTCCCAAGACATGTATTTGCCAACTTCTATAATAATTTGGCAGTTTTTTTACATGGACTAGTTTTGCAGGCATATTTAACCATCAGTTACGTGACTCTCCTCCAGCGCTGACGAGCTGTTGCTGACAGAGCTGCTGTTTAACGGCGTCTTCAACAACCTGACGGAGCAACAGTCCTGTGCCCTCCTCAGCTGCTTTGTGTTCCAGGAGAATTCCAATGAGATGCCCAAACTGACAGAGGAACTCTCGGGACCTCTACGTATCATGCAGGTAAGGAGCTGGCGCTATTTGGGGGCCTGACATTTCAGATTTTGTCAATCTTACAGTTCAGTGTGTGCATAATGTTACTTGGCTTGTTACTTTTAGGACACAGCTCGGCGTATTGCCCGGGTGAGTCGGGAAGCCAAGTTGGAGCATCTGGAGGAGGAGGCCTATGCCGAGACATTCCGACCACACATGATGGATGTTGTGAACGCTTGGTGCAATGGATCGACATTTTTCCAGTTGTGTAAAATGACAGACATCTTTGAAGGTGAGAATGTTAGTCCATGTTCATCTGAGCTAACAGTGTGGCTAGTGAAGCTTCCTTGTTGTTAAAAGCTGGATACATTTGCTGTATTTACATCAACCGATACTGTGTGAATGAGTGTTACCGGCTGTATACCAGGTGTAGGTATGCTGTATCATGAATGTGTTACTAGCAGCTAGGAAGGTGTGTATACTGTGTGGATGAGTGTTACAGGCTGTATACCAGGTGTAGGTATGCTGTATCATGAATGTGTTACTAGCAGCTAGGAAGGTGTGTATACTGTGTGGATGAGTGTTACAGGCTGTATACCAGGTGTAGGTATGCTGTATCATGAATGTGTATGCTAGGAAGGTGTGTATACTGTGTGGATGAAGTGTTACAGGCTGTATACCAGGTGTAGGTATGCTGTATCATGAATGTGTTACTAGGAACTAGGAAGGTGTGTATACTGTGTGGATGAGTGTTACAGGCTGTATACCAGGTGTAGGTATGCTGTATCATGAATGTGTTACTAGCAGCTAGGAAGGTGTGTATACTGTGTGGATGAGTGTTACAGGCTGTATACCAGGTGTAGGTATGCTGTATCATGAATGTGTTACTAGCAGCTAGGAAGGTGTGTATACTGTTTGATATGAGTGTTACAGGCTGTATACCAGGTGTAGGTATGCTGTATCATGAATGTGTTACTAGCAACTAGGAAGGTGTGTATACTGTGTGGATGAGTGTTACAGGCTGTATACCAGGTGTAGGTATGCTGTATCATGAATGTGTTACTAGCAACTAGGAAGGTGTGTATACTGTGTGGATGAGTGTTACAGGCTGTATACCAGGTGTAGGTATGCTGTATCATGAATGTGTTACTAGCAGTAAGGAAGGTGTGTATACTGTTTGATAAACATGTTACCATGGTTACAGGTAGTATAATCCGGTGTATGCGGAGGCTGGAGGAACTCCTCAGACAGATGGTGCAGGCAGCTAAAGCCATTGGGAACACAGAGCTGGAAAACAAGTTCTCGGAAGGTACGCAACAAAATAGTTTGTGTGGGTCAACATAATCACTTCTGATATGTCATACCTAGTTTCCATATTTATCTTGGGCCAAAAGTCACCTTGTTCAAACTGATAAATCATCTATAGATACGAAGTATTGTTTACAATCCAAATGACTTAATGGGATTTTTTAACTCCACTCCAAAGGGGAAAATGTTCTAGTTTTTCTAAAGTTTGTACTAGTGTGTAACATTTTTTAGATTTCATGAAATTGTTGAATGGTAGAGCTAAAGGTTAATATTGAACTATGATATGGAAAACACTTAGATGGGTCAACTGTAGTAATATGAATTAATCAGGTTGGCCTTAACTTCTTTCGGGTAGCAATTTACTTGATCACGGCAACTGCCAGAAAGAAACGTTTACCATGATATAGGGACAGGGCTGGATCAGGCAGTGAGGTAGACTTCAAGACCATGTCTTGTTCTGTTGCGTTAGTTTTTCATGTATCAAATGAAGAAGCTAGTCTTCATAACTATGATGTGACTCTGTCTTGGTGACCATAGTAACTCTCATTGTATATGTCTTCCTTTCAGCTATTAGAAGAATCAAGAGGGACATTGTGTTTGCTGCTAGTCTGTACTTATAGTAGCAGGTGCTTGTCATTAGCTGGCAGACACTTTCATCACCAAGGATCCAAGGAGCTCCTCACAGTGATAGCCCACTGGTGGATCTCTCTATGCTGTCGGGGCCAACAGCCACAGCTCCTTACAGTGGTGACACAACCATGCATGGAATTAAACTGCTGACTGACTGTTTTGCTTACAAGCCAAGTGAAACTTCTTGATGCGAAGTAATATTCAAGTTCAAATATTTTGTGTGTCAATTTGAAGTTCATTTCAACTATCATGTACTGGGTACAGTCATAGTGTAAGGGGCTATTGGGTGTTTTTCTTAATGTCAGCAATTTTGAATTAATCTGAGTAAACAAGCAAACAATAATTCTCCTCGGAAAAAGTACGTTAGTTGTAAGCCATTTTAAACATTTACTATAGTACATTCTTAGACAAAAATAAACATTGCATTTTAAATTTTAAAGATTTTTGTAGTGGCCATTTTGCGCATTGGTGGCAGTGATGATACTATCATGGTAAAGAAGGTGTCGTGCTGGGAAGGAGCTTGTGAAGCTCACTGTCAGGGGAGATAACTCCTGTTACCATCAAAACAATTGAAAGGTAGTTCCGTATTCAGGTGACAGTAGGGATTCTCATGTGTTGTAATATGTGTCCAATGCCGATACCACATGCTCTCCGAGATGAAGGGGGGGATTGAGAGAACCCAGAATTATTATTTGAGTACCCAGAAATGCACAATTACTTGGCTCTCTTGTGACATCGTAATGGAAACAATTTAGTTCTGTTGTAGATCTTGTTATAAGGAATTTAGAATAAGCAGTATCAGTAAGTTGAAACTTACTACTTTTTCTGTACTTTTGGTTAGTTTGTTAGATGCAGACATGTCAGCATTGTCACATTGTAGATTGCCAGGAAAGGATGGCATGTAGAAGATCAGCTTCATTCTCTTCCTGTTCATTTGTAAATGTCATGTTCATTTCAATCACACAAATGATTCACTGTACACTGTTGTGTACATCATTGTAAATCCTGTAAATATATATACTGTAAAAAATGTCAATAAATCTGAATTGGATTCAGTCTTGGTGATTACCCTGTGTGATATCTATGTGAGAAATATCTGACAGTAAAGTCAGGAAGTGATTTGCGCAATACTTGTTATCAGTGGATCCATGTGACACAGATTTGTCAGGCTGTTATCAGTGTATTCATGTGTGACAGACTTGTCAGGCTGTTATCAGTGGATCCATGTGACACAGATTTGCCAGACTGTTATCAGTGGATCCATGTGACACAGACTTGTCAGACTGTTATCAGTGGATCCATGTGACACAGACTTGTCAGGCTGTTATCAGTGGATCCATATGACACAGACTTGTAAGGCTGTTTGTTGTCAGTGGATCCATGTGACACACACTTGCCAAGCTGTTTGTTATCACTTGCCAGGCTGTTTGTTATCAGTGGATCCATGTGACACAGATTTGCCCAGCTGTTTGTTATCAGTGGATCCATGTGACACAGACTTGCCCAGCTGTTTGTTATCAATGGATCCATGTGACGAAGACTTGCCAAGCTGTTTGTTATCAATGGATCCATATGACACAGACTTGTGAGACTGTTTGTTATCAGTGCATCCATGTCACACAGTTTGTTATCAGTGGACACTTGCCCAGCTGTTTGTTATCAATGGATCCATGTGACACAGACTTGCCCGGCTGTTATCAGTGGATCCATGTGACACACACTTGCCAAGCTGTTTGTTATCAGTGGATCCATGTGACACAGACTTTGTCTGGCTGGCTGGTTATCCAGTGGATCCATGTAACACAGATTTGTCAGGCTGTTATCAGTGGATCCATGTGACACAGACTTGACAGACTGTTATCAGTGGATCCATGTGACACAGATTTGTCAGGCTGTTATCAGTGGATCCATGTGGCACAGACTTGTCAGGCTGTTATCAGTGGATCCATGTGACACAGACTTGCCAGGCTGTTATCAGTGGATCCATGTGACACAGACTTGCCAGACTGTTATCAGTGGATCCATGTGACACAGATTTGTCAGGCTGTTTGTTATCAGTGGATCCATGTGACACAGACTTGTCAGGCTGGTTATCAGTGGATCCATGTGACAGACTTGCCAGGCTGTTTGTTATCAGTGGATCCATGTGACAGACTTGTCAGGCTGTTTGTTATCAGTGGATCCATGTGACACAGACTTGCCAGGCTGTTTGTTATCAGTGGATCCATGTGACACACAGATTTGTCAGGCTGTTTGTTATCAGTGGATCCATGTGACACAGACTTGCCAGGCTGTTTGTTATCAGTGGATCCATGTGACACAGACTTGCCAGGCTGTTTGTTATCAGTGGATCCATGTGACACAGACTTGCCAAGCTGTTTGTTATCAATGGATCCATGTTACACAGACTTGCCAGGCTGTTTGTTATCAGTGGATCCATGTGACACAGACTTGTCAGGCTGTTTGTTATCAGTGGATCCATGTGGCAGACTTGCCCAGCTGTTTGTTATCAGTGGATCCATGTGACAGACTTGCCAGGCTGTTTGTTATCAGTGGATTCATGTGACACAGACTTGTCAGGCTGTTTGTTATCAGTGGATCCATGTGACAGACTTGTCAGGCTGTTTGTTATCAGTGGATCCATGTGACACAGACTTGTCAGGCTGTTTGTTATTAGTGGATCCATGTGACAGACTTGTCAGGCTGTTTGTTATCAGTGGATCCATGTGACACAGACTTGTCAGGCTGTTTGTTAGTGGATCCATGTGGATCCATGTGACATGTGACAGACTTGCCAGGCTGTTTGTAATCAGTGGATCCATGTGGCAGACTTGCCAGGCTGTTTGTTATTGGTGGATCCATGTGGCAGACTTGCCAGGCTGTTTGTTATCAGTGGATTCATGTGACACAGACTTGCCAGGCTGTTTGTTATCAGTGGATTCATGTGACTCAGATGTGACAGGCTGTTTGTTACTAGTGATCCAGGCTTGTTTGTTTTATCAGTGGATCCATGTTACACAGACTTGTCAGGCTGTTATCAGTGGATCCATGTAACACAGATTTGTCAGGCTGGTATCAGTGGATCCATGTGACACAGACTTGTCAGGCTGTTTGTTATCAGTGGATCCATGCGACGCAGACTTGTCAGGGTGTTTTAAATTTGGTGCTCCAGGTGAATAAGCTTAAACAGAATCTAAGAAAAACACAATGAAAATAGTAGCTTTTATTGTTCAAGCATATAAGATGTGATAATGAAGTTGTTAAAAGTGACGTATAATGTAGCACACAGCTGGTGTGTTGTCTAAATACAATATATAACATTCTAGCCCTGTCATCAGGCAGATATACACCTGTCAGGATTGCTGCATGTTAGTCTAGGTTAGTATGTGTTTACTGGTGCTACCAGTGTATTGAGGCAGTGATGTACATGGTCTGCGGACTGGACTGAGTACCTCTGTTCCACAACCTGATAACACCCTATCAGGGTCACGAAGTTCTCCGGTCACTTGGATTTCCTGGAAGATGTTGAGGACAAACTTAACCATAACTCATGGATTTGGGGTATAGCCTTCTAACAGATCACCTTTAAACAATGAAATCAGTTTGCTTCAAAGGTCATGAAATTTGTATAAGATGAATATGCATAACAGCAAAAATTGTTTGTATCAACAGATTAGTACTAAGAACTGCCACAATATGGCTGAAAGATTGCCGATGTGACTATAAATCTTAACTCACTAAGAACTGCATGAAACAATATAAAGTCTTTTCTGAACACATCAACATATTTCCCTTAAAATTCCCTGACCTTGAACTCTCCTCAACTGTCTGTCACCTCCACACTGTTGAGAAGGTTTTGCAGCAGACGTGAGTAGAACCAACCTGATCTTGTCAGCATTATTCACATTTAGCTGATTTGCAATCATTCATGACAAATACCACATTCACCCGTTTGACTGACGTGAGATAACTGTGAAATCATTCACTGGAGGAGAATTCACCTCATGCACTCAGTAATGGAACCAGCTGGAGATGTGACAATGTTGTGTATAATGTAGCATGCCCTCGGCACAACTAAGGCTGACTGGAAATGTGTAATGTGATTACACAGAAGGTCCTGAAAGTCTCTGCTGACATGTTTTTCCAGGATGAAACAGAGGGAGATATAATCATATCCTTCTTCAAACACCTGATTGGCTTAAAGCAGGTGTCTATTATATAACCTTAGAAATGGGACGTGCATCTCCCTGTGTGGAAGCAGGTATCTGTTACAGCCTCCTTAGAACAGGCCTTGCACCAAACACATTTCATACTGATACAACAAACACAATAAGCAGGCTGCAAACTTTTTGTTCTGGAAAACAATACTAAATGCTACTAAGATAGAATAATTTTGCAAACAAATCCTGAAGAAACATGAGTATAAATGATCACAGGTGCTGAATCACAGGTGAGCTGAGCAAACCATATACCATTAACGCCAATGAGAAATGTCCTGTACATTGTCCAGATTTCTAACATGCTCGTTTTGATCTCTGGCTCAACATGATGTATCATGGGTTACAATACCTGAGCAGAACGGTGTTTCAACCACAACAAACTGACTGTTGGATGCACTGCCTCTTCCAGTCTCATCCACTGATCTGTGACTGGAATTCGGCAGTTACAGTATAAATGAAGACAAAATTAACTGAAGGATTATTTACTACAGAAACTTTTCTTTTGACTGTGATTGTTACCTTTACATTTGTTTACTTCCTCAAGTACTGGTGCACTCCACTTGGGTCCGATTCATCAGTTCAAAGGTTCAATTCTCTATCACAGGATTGTGTTACTTTGAATTTACTTATAGTAAATACATTTCATTGGGCATGAACTAACACCGTTTTGTGGTACACCTGCACCCAATGTTCTGGTGGGCTGAAACATGTCTTGAAACAGTATGGGGTGACTTGAAACAGTGTATACTCTGCTGTGCACACAGCACACAAATGTTAGTGGGATGACTTAAAACAGTGTACACTGCTGTACTCGCATGCATTGGGTGAAGTATTCGTGGGGTGACATGAAACTGTACTCTTCTGGCAATAATATACATGTTCATAGCTTCTCCATATTATCAATCTAAATGTCACAAAGGAAAATAAATAGAAACCTTACTAAAGTTATCCTTGAATAAACACCTACTTTTACAAGACGATCTATGAAACTTGTGTCTCAAGAGTAAGTGTTTTACGAGCGGTCTGTCAGCCATTGACCAACAAGATACACCAGCCTGGGCTCACTTTGCATCAAAGGCTTGAAATAAAATTGTCAAGACCTTCCTACACAGTTGAGACACACATCCACTCTTGCTTACATGCATATGATATGTATCTACATCTGCCTGACATGTTCACAGCCAACCACAGTCAAATACAGTCAACCACAGCCAACCAGCATCAAGCCTGTATGTTAACACAGACTGCCAGGATATATCAGAATAATGCCATGTTGCTAGATTTCTACACTGTCAGTGTATATCTGAATTATGCCATGTTGCTGGAGTCTGCTCTGCTCAGTGTCCATCCAAGGCCTTCAGGAATCTCGATTCAATGACATGTGGAACCAGTTTATGTCTGTAAAAATAAAAATATTTTTGTAGTTTTTTTATGTATTTAGGATATCCTGATAGTGTCATTTGACTGTATATGTGTACAAAATAGACATTATATTGGCACCATACTGTTTTACCAGACAGACCAGTGGGGAGGCCGAATCAGTTCTGACATCCCCAGTAGTCGACCAATCAGGTATCACAAACTGTAATATGGTATCAGTCACCTAATCTAAACTTTGATTGGCCTGCACAAGTGCATAAAAGCTGATTTCGATCCCCGACAGCGTCATTCCAAAAGACGTTAAAATGTGGTACTTGTTGGTCCCTGCCTGGCGTTCGGCATTAATGGGTACAACAAGGACTGGTCAGCTCGGAGTCAGTATAATGTGTCTGAGTGGGGTATTCATGCTTCACTGCGGCATGGTATCTCAGTGGGGTAGCACTATAAAACCAGCTTAAGTCTGGGCTAGTACAAGCAGCCGCACATACACATACACACGCATGCACGTCGTCATATGAGTGAAATATTCTCAAGCACGACGTAAAACCCAATTTCACCTCACCTCATAAAAGCTGATCACTGTCAAAAATAAATATGACACACCTGACGGAATTACTTAACAGACTCGAGGAGCATTAGCCTCTTTCACCTTACTGATATCCCCCATGAGGGAGATTAGTGTGATTCACCTGATGTAGACATGAGTATGACCAGGGGCCACTAATATTAATCTCTGGACGGCATTTGCCAGATTCATGGAACAGCAATAGCATGTCTCATTAAAACAGCACTGATAAAATACATCTGCAGGGTATTATTGACTCACCTGGTGGGTACTGTGACTCCCAAGAAGGGTGTTACTGAAATGTCCGAGGGGTACATGGACTCCCCTGAATGGTACTACTGAATGGTCTGAGGGGTACTGTGACTCCCAAGAAGGGTGTTACTGAAATGTCCGAGGGGTACATGGACTCCCCTGAATGGTACTACTGAATGGTCTGAGGGGTACTGTGACTCACCAGAAGGGTGTTACTGAAAGGTCCGAGGGGTACATGGACTCCCCTGAATGGTACTACTGAATGGTCTGAGGGGGATACTGTGACTCCCAAGAAGGGTGTTACTGAAATGTCCAGGGGGACATGGACTCCCCCTGAAGGGTACTACTGTCTGAGGGGTACTGTGACTCACCAGAAGGGGTTTTACTGAATGGTCCGAGGGGTACATGGACTCCCCTGAAGGGTACTACTGAATGGTCTGAGGGGAACTGTGACTCACCAGAAGGGTGTTACTGAAATGTCCGAGGGGTACATGGACTCCCCTGAAGGTAGTACTGAACGGTCTGAGGAGTACTGAGACTCCCCTGAAGGTAGTACTGAATAGTCTGAGGGGCACTACAACTCACTTGGAGCTTATTGAAGGACGTACCTGATAGGCATGAGGAACATGAGAAGTATGGGGAAGATCATCTTCATGTAAGCTATGGGGGAGAAGCCGAACACACACAGGATGAAGAGCTGGATGAGCTGGATGCCTGTGAAGGTGTGGATCTTGCGCTGGGGAACACGGCGGATGTAGTGGTTCGGGGGGTACGCCGCCTGAAACACAATTGTGTAAACCACTTGTACAACAGTTCGTGTTTTATGGGGGCTGTATAGCACATTAACACCTCAAAGTCCAAAGTTCCATTTCCTGTTGTTAAGGTAGCAATTAACCTTCACTCATGTAGAACCAGAACTTTGTCTGCACAATGGCAATTTAGCAATATAGAGTTACTTAAGATTCTGCAAAAGAGGTATCACAGAGAGTATTAAAGTTCTCCAAAATGAGAATGGTTTTGCAAAATTAAATAGAATTTTGAAGCAAAAAAAATAATACAAATGTGCACACCTGTTCTGTAAACAGCAGCTGAATCCTCTCATAGAACTGGTTGCCATAGAGAGCAGAGATGGCCACAAACAGGAAGAGGCCATCCAGAACGGCTCGTGGAATATATGACAAGGGAAGTGGCAGCATCAACACCGAGAGACCAATCATGACGTGGGATATAATCCCAGTAAGTCGCGTCTCACGCACATGGACAACACTGAAAAATAGTAACAAGTTATGTTCAGGCCACACTTTGTTGCAGTAGTGGCATAAAACCAAGTTATCTCAATCAAACCTGACACTCAATCATGTGTTACAAGACACAGTTTATACTGTAAGCCCATTGTCTATGTCTGTCTATGTATTTTATTTTCAATGCAATGTAAAGACTTGAGTCAAGTCTACCTACGTCTGAGCAATGTGTCCCTGTTCAACCCTCTCCTCCACATCAGCAAGGGCACGCACATGGAGAGGGGAGTGGGGCAGGGCAGCGTGCACCCAGGGGAGGGTGAAGACGGAGAGGAAGGCGTTGATGATGGCCACCACAAACAGATCCCAGTGGTAGGCAGCACCCTTCTTCAACCTGAAAGAGACTAGGAAGTAAATACCAACACCAGCAGAAACGTGGATGATACTGGGTTGATTACTCCATTCTTGGTTTATCACAGTAAAGGACATCAAATCATTCAGAGAGGTCTTACAGTGTTGCTTTGGTCATCCTTTTGAACTGAGAAGAACCTACAGTTACAGATAAACCCAGTAATGTTGAACAGGGCGAGTGACATCTTGACTTACTTGTTGTTGGGTGTGTTGACAAGGGCGCTGGAAATGTTCTGGTCCATGAAGAAAAGAAGTGACAGGCTGAAGCCCAGACCTGCTGCTGCAAAGATGGCTCCCACCGGGAGACTCTCTATGTGGGCCAGCTCAAACATTTGCTCAGACGGGTTATACTCAAAGGGTTCCACTGAAAAATCAAAATCACCATCAGAATCAGTCTAATTTTACTGCAAGAAACTGACTATATTAAACATACATAACCATGGTTGATTTGACAGGACCTGAAGCCCAGCAGGGGCTTCAGAGAAACCCATTCTCTGGATTTCTGTGGGTTGAAATATCTGTTTCTACTTGAAATAATAATGTGCATATCTATAATGAGCCAAATCCAGGCCTTAAAACATGCTCAAAGCCCTAGATTCTACAGTCAGTTGATCAGTGTACACTTGAGTTCTCAGCTCCCAGCGGGGTATATAGAACTGCTTGCGTGGCTATAGAACGTCACACTACCATCTCATCCTACCGGGTACCCATTTACTGCTGGAGAACAGAGGTATATTTTCAACATAATAACTTGCATGAGAAGACACATCACCATGAAATGTGTCATCCCCAAGCCCTAGAAACTGTCGGCAGTCATGCTGCAGGGCATGGCTACTCTATAAACCATCATCTCCCCAGCATGTATTGGTGAACTTCACTTGCTTTGTCACCTGTGTGTTAGTAGACTGGACAGTATTTGTTTAAACTTGGTGCAATCACCGTGTGATTCGGTGCCACTTACAGTTGACCTCTGAGAAGACATAGGAGCCAAAGAAGGTCATCAGCAGCACTGAGATTGGGAGAGCATAGTCTGCTAGAATCTCCCGCCGGTTGGCGTTGAGGAACGGCCTGGAGATGAACATGGTTGAAAGGAGATAAACAAGGTGCAAAGAGCAATGGCATTCATAAATTATAAAATCTTAATTTGCTCTACAATGGACTAAACTACCAAGACATGTAGTCATTTACTGTTAGCGAGGCAGATGCTGATTTTCAGTAAGTAACATTTTAAGGGATATATTTTCATATCTGAAACAAAGATCAGCATTGTACAGAATATGTATTATCTTAAACATGCTGTAGTGATGTACCACAATATATTGCTGGTAGATTTTCTTGCATGTACTCTCAGTATAGAGGGCCTAGTTGTCTAAGGCACGACAAATTGCTGTGCAGAGTTCCTTTTAGCCAGTCAGAAACATTTGACTGTAGTTTCAAATCCCAGTTTGACCCGATTACATTTGTGGGTTTGTCAGCACCACACATGCTGATGGGTTTCACCCTGTTTCACCCTGTTTCACCCTAGTGGTAGACATGGAAGACCTTTCATTACAACATTAACCTGACACTCTGTCATAAAACAGGGATACTGTTAAAAGCAACATTAAATGTAACTCGGTCACTCACACACTCACTCTTCTTTGTGCAGCACTGGAAAAGACACGTCTTCCAGTTTTACTTACGTTTTTGTGAAGTTGAGAAGAGTAAGGCCACACCAGACAGTACCAAGCATTAGCAGCAAAAATAATACACTATTTTCCCTCAGACAAGCATGCTCCTTGTGCACATCGCTGATACTGCTGTTGATATTACTGGTTAAATTACTAACAACAGTTGTCAGGACAGTAGTAGGCGTAGTTATCACAGTTGGCACGTTAGTAGTATTATACAGGTTTGTGGTATTCGGTTTCACTTTACAAGCTTCTGCATGGTAGTTGGAATCAAAATCTAAAAGAAATGGAGATATATAAGTGAGTATCTGTGAGTAGTGCCAGTAAGTAGGTTATATAGTCTCCATTAAATACCTTTCTACAGAAAATGGATATATGTATAGAGACAGGAATATATGGACAGTTGTATAAAATGCAGGAGCGCCACCCAAGTGTTATCTCCCTTTGAAGCCAATTGTAAATGGTTAAGACATCCACAGCTGACCCAACACACATAATCATGTGGCCATGCCTAGTATTGAAACAGAGAATCAGCACATCCCTAGAGAGGCAATGGCATTATTGATGTCAGGTTCATGTTAACAAGTAATATTTGACCCAAGATTATATTTAACTTTACCTACATCACTCAGAGACTCAGCTTGGGTCAAAGACTTGCAGAACAATTAAATCTAGAAAATGCTTCCTGAAAACCACTAAAATTAGCCATTCTAGTCCTATCTATCCATTTAGTATTTATGTCATCCCACATCGTAGGAGACAATGAACCATTGTAACAACTGTACCCAAGTGTCAAGAGCAACTTCTGTGGTAAACACAGTTCTGTAGCTGAAACATTTATACGATCAGTTATATGTTTTAACTGTAAACTCACCTTTAATTGTATCTTTGATAGCATCTGCTGAGAATGCAAATGTGATGAAGACAGAAAATATTTCCTCTGTCGACCTGGACAAGGTAAACACATTGGTTACAAAACATCACCACCGTATATCTGGCTGTTGTTCATCATCAACTTATCAACACTATTCATAATAAGCAGTTCTCAAACTAAGGATGAATACTGAATAGTTTCTCAGAAAATGGTCAAGATGTTTCAAGACTGTTTTACAAGAAAATGAGGAACCTGAGAATTAAAATATTTTTCATTATACATTTTAATTCCCCTCCACTGACCTTGATGACCAGCGCATCATTTTGCTGGTGTTGAGGAAGGCGTACAGAAGGAGGAAGAAAGCATTCCATAGACCAGTGGCCGCAAACATTGCATGGAAGTCCAAGTCAAAGTCCTCACAGATACTGTAAATAACTACACACACATACACAAGCTACATTATGAGTTCAAACAAGATACAAGTGTCAAGTTTTCACAAGTTATATATATATATATATATATATTTGCATCAACATATTATGTGACATTCGATCTATGCTGTGACCAGTATGGTAACTCAAAGTACTGCCTGTTCACAAAAGCTAGTTTTCATAATGATTGCTCAAAATGACATACCAAAAGTTAGATTTACTCATTTATCTGCATTGAAAAAAGTCAGCAGAAGTTTTGCAAAATGATTACTAAAAAAACTCATTTTCTTACTGTACTGAAATCCCTGACATTGGAACATACTGTATAACTCTGCAAGGCTAGGATGTTTTGTTGACATACTTTTAGTGTAGAGGATGTTTTGTTCATGAACAGAATGTCTGTTGTCTTACTTTTGGTGTAGAGGATGTTTTGTTCATTAACAGAGTGTCTGTTGTCTTACTTTTAGTGTAGAGGATGTTTTGTTCATGAACAGAGTGTCTGTTGTCTTACTTTTAGTGTAGAGGATGTTTTGTTCATGAACAGAATGTCTGTTGTCTTACTTTTAGTGTAGAGGATGTTTTGTTCATTAACAGAGTGTCTGTTGTCTTACTTTTAGTGTAGAGGATGTTTTGTTCATTAACAGAGTGTCTGTTGTCTTACTTTTAGTGTAGAGGATGTTTTGTTCATTAACAGAGTGTCTGTTGTCTTACTTTTAGTGTAGAGGATGTTTTGTTCATGAACAGAGTGTCTGTTGTCTTACTTTTAGTGTAGAGGATGTTTTGTTCATGAACAGAATGTCTGTTGTCTGAACAGAGTGTCTTACTTTAGTGTAGAGGATGTTTTGTTCATTAACAGAGTGTCTGTTGTCTTACTTTTGGTGTAGAGGATGTTTTGTTCATGAACAGAGTGTCTGTTGTCTTACTTTTAGTGTAGAGGATGTTTTGTTCATTAACAGAGTGTCTGTTGTCTTACTTTTAGTGTAGAGGATGTTTTGTTCATGAACAGAGAGTCTGTTGTCTTACTTTTGGTGTAGAGGGCAAGGGGAGCTGTAGTCAGGAGGACAATGAGCGGCTGCCCCCCAAGCACGGCAAACACCACACCACCAAAACATTGGGAAAACAGGATCTTCTTGACACCTGCAAACAAAACATGAAAGGTCTGCAGGAATTATTATTATTATAGGATATTTATATAGTGCACACAGCCACGCAACTAGTGCATGCTCAAGGTGCTGGTATTTTTTCCCCTCGATCACTGGATGTCAAGCTCAACAGCACATCATATTATCAATCTCAACTCCCTGTGGAGTATACAACTCTTGCTGCCACTAGGCGCACCAAGTTATTGCTGCTTTCTCATCCTAACTAGGTACCCAGTCACAGCTGGGTGGACTGGGACACATAGTTACAGTACTTTGTCCAAGTTCAGTGCACATAGCTGTACCCGCAACTAGGTGTTTGCACGTATTCATGTGGCCACCATCTGGTCATATACCAACGGATTCGTGGGTTCTTTAAGTGCACAGGGTTGTGTACTGTACACTAGGGGTTGTGACAACACGGAAAGAGTCTGCACACAAAGTTGACTCCAAATGGCTCACAAACAAATTAGCAACTCTTAAGGGTATACATACCCATAGCACTGTGTGTTTTTCTGGGTTTTTTTACAACTAAGCCAGTCCCGCACGTTGTACATGACCTATTCGCCTACAGGACTGTGTTTTGGACAGACCAGTGAATTACTCACCTATAGCACCATGAGTGTTGGACAGACCAGTGAATTACTCACCTATAGCACCATGAGTGTTGGACAGACCAGTGAATTACTCACCTATAGCACCATGAGTGTTGGACAGACCAGTGAATTACTCACCTAAAGCACCATGAGTGTTGGACAGACCAGTGAATTACTCACCTATAGCACCATGAGTGTTGGACAGACCAGTGAATTACTCACCTATAGCACCATGAGTGTTGGACAGACCAGTGAATTACTCACCTATAGCACCATGAGTGTTGGACAGACCAGTGAATTACTCACCTATAGCACCATGAGTGTTGGACAGACCAGTGAAGACCAGTGACTCACCTATAGCACCATGAGTGTTGGACAGACCAGTGAATTACTCACCTATAGCACCATGAGTGTTGGACAGACCAGTGAATTACTCACCTATAGCACCATGAGTGTTGGACAGACCAGTGAATTACTCACCTATAGCACCATGAGTGTTGGACAGACCAGTGAATTACTCACCTATACCATGATGGAGCAGACCAGTGAATTACTCACCCTATGCACCATGAGTGTTGGACAGACCAGTGAATTACTCACCTATAGCACCATGAGTGTTGGACAGACCAGTGAATTACTCACCTATAGCACCATGAGTGTTGGACAGACCCACCCATAGCACCATGAGTGTTGGACAGACCAGTGAATTACTCACCTATAGCACCATGAGTGTTGGACAGACCAGTGAATTACTCACCTATAGCACCATGAGTGTTGGACAGACCAGTGAATTACTCACCTATAGCACCATCATGAGTGTTGGACAGACCAGTGAATTACTCACCTATAGCACCATGAGTGTTGGACAGACCAGTGAATTACTCACCTATAGCACCATGAGTGTTGGACAGACCAGTGAATTACTCACCTATAGCACCATGAGTGTTGGACAGACCAGTGAATTACTCACCTATAGCACCATGAGTGTTGGACAGACCAGTGAATTACTCACCTATAGCACCATGAGTGTTGGACAGACCAGTGAATTACTCACCTATAGCACCATGAGTGTTGGACAGACCAGTGAATTACTCACCTATAGCACCATGAGTGTTGGACAGACCAGTGAATTACTCACCTATAGCACCATGAGTGTTGGACAGACCAGTGAATTACTCACCTATAGCACCATGAGTGTTGGACAGACCAGTGAATTACTCACCTATAGCACCATGAGTGTTGGACAGACCAGTGAATTACTCACCTATAGCACCATGAGTGTTGGACAGACCAGTGAATTACTCACCTATAGCACCATGAGTGTTGGACAGACCAGTGAATTACTCACCTGGACAGACCATAGCACCATGAGTGTTGGACAGACCAGTGAATTACTCACCTATAGCACCATGAGTGTTGGACAGACCAGTGAATTACTCACCTATAGCACCATGAGTGTTGGACAGACCAGTGAATTACTCACCTATAGCACCATGAGTGTTGGACAGACCAGTGAATTACTCACCTATAGCACCATGAGTGTTGGACAGACCAGTGAATTACTCACCTATAGCACCATGAGTGTTGGACAGACCAGTGAATTACTCACCTATAGCACCATGAGTGTTGGACAGACCAGTGAATTACTCACCTATAGCACCATGAGTGTTGGACAGACCAGTGAATTACTCACCTATAGCACCATGAGTGTTGGACATGAATTACTCACCTATAGCACCATTGGACAGACCAGTGAATTACTCACTCACCATGAGTGTTATAGCACCATGAGTGTTGGACAGACCAGTGAATTACTCACCCATAGCACCATGAGCGCCATGGACAGACCAGTGAATTACTCACCTATAGCACCATGAGTGTTGGACAGACCAGTGAATTACTCACCTATAGCACCATGAGTGTTGGACAGACCAGTGAATTACTCACCTATAGCACCATGAGTGTTGGACAGACCAGTGAATTACTCACCTATAGCACCATGAGTGTTGGACAGACCAGTGAATTACTCACCTATAGCACCATGAGTGTTGTCACTGTTGAGCATACCAAAGGCGATGTTGGGCAGCACACAGGCAAAGTAGAGGAACAGAGTCGTGGCCAACACTTTGTGGGGGGTCTTGTGACCTATGATACTGCCACGCAAAGAGAAAACAGTTAGAGAAGATATCTGTTTCTGTCAAACTTCATGTTACAAACTTTGTAAATACAATTACAGTTGCAGACTAAACAACTCTGTTTAAATCACAATATGACATCACATAATAGGCATGGCGTTGTCTCACCATCTTTGTAGTCCGACCAGTAATGAGGCAGCCTCCTTTTGAGATCTCCCAGAAGCCCTTGCCCAATGGGACATCGGGCTTTGGACTGAAACACAAACGTTGATGTACACACTAACTTTGTTTTGTTGAAAATAACTCCACTTAGTTTCATATAGTGTTACTCTAGATGTGGGCTGTGTTTGTATCGATACTTGTACCACATGACAGGGTACAGTGGCCTACAATCACTGGTAAGCTTTCATGACATAAGGTATTGGGTACTTGGTGACTTGGGAACAGGGCTCAGAACTCCAGTTATCTAACACCTGCCTCTTGAAAGTAACATTAAACAGCTGTAAGAGTTTTCAGTTATCAACAACATTCAGAATAATCATTCCGCTCTGACTCTGTCAGTGAGTGAGTGAGTTTAGTTTTAAGCTGCACTAAGCAATATTTCAGCTATATTACGGTGATCTGTAAATAATTTAGTTTGGACCAGACAATCCAGTGACTGACATCATAAGCATTGTTCTACACAATTGGGATGAGATGACACGTGCCAACCAAGTCAGCGAGCCTGAAACACTCGATCCCGTTAGTCGCTTATTACGAAAAGCATGGGTTACTGAAGATCAATTCTAACCTAGATCTTCACGGGTCCTCTGAATATGAAATCTATCGATATATGTTCAGGCGCGTAGCAAGCCAATTATTTCGTGTAAGAGCGACAGGTTGCCAAGCTGTATATTTAGATAGTATTGATGGCTTGCCAAACCTTTTTAGCAACAGTCATGTGTAAGCCCCGGGCTGTTTTTCTAAATGGAAGCTACACCCCTGATGTTTAACTAGTTAACAGTTGATATGAAGCATGTGAACCTTTACCTCCCCATCAACATCAAAGACGGACACGTTAGGCAGAGACTTCCTGTGTTCTGGGTGGCCCTGCTCCAACACAAGTTGTTTCGTTCTGGCTTGTAGGAGGCGGATAAACTCATCCTCATCAGTAATGCTAAGCAGCGAGTGACGGAACTCCAGGTCCATGAACAATGTCGCAAATGTCCGACCAGTCTCCAAGTAATTTTTGGTGGTTTTCTGCAGGGGAGAGAGGCAATTATTTAATACAGGAAAAGAGTAAAGAGAAGTATTTCACATATCAATGGCTGTTATAGTATGCAATGAAATATTGCACAGATGAAAATTATTCCACATGGTCCTAAACTTCCTGGTCCTGACCTACACATGCAGAAGGTGGACCTACAGAGGCAGTAGGAGGACCTACACAGTCAGAAGGAGGACCTAAAGTCAGAAGGAGGACCTACACAGTCAGAAGGAGGACCTACAGTCAAATGGAGGACCTACCGTGTCAGATGGAGGACCTACACAGTCAGAAGGTGGACTTACACAATCAGATGGAGGACCTACAGTCAGAAGGAGGACCTACACAGTCAGAAGGTGGACCTACACAGTCAGAAGGAGGACCTACACAGTCAACTGGAGGACCTACAGTCAGAAGGAGGACCTACACAGTCAGAAGGTGGACCTACACAGTCAGAAGGAGGACCTACACAGTCAACTGGAGGACCTACAGTGTCAGATGGAGGACCTAAACAGTCAGATAGACATTACCTCTCTGGTGGGTGTGAGGATGAGGACGATGAAGGTGACCTCCTGGCAGTTGGCCCCCAGATTGGCCGGTGTGTGGAGGCGTGCAATCACAACCTTCCGTTTGGCTATGGATGTCACATCACACCTTAAAAAAACATTTCTCACACAGTTATACAGAACTTCTCACACAAATCTTGTGACGATCTTCAGCTGTTAAAACACAAACTGCATTTCATTCGAAACAAACTCTTCAGGACACAAAAAATATAATCAGAGATATTTTATGAATGCTTCGGTATGGTGGCTCAGAAATTATTATCTCCCTTGGAAACTAAAAACATGACAGATAAAGTACAAAATACATAATTTGTGCCTAATCTTTCTATAAAAATATTATAACTCACAAGCACAAAATGAATGCAACTAACATTAACATGTTCAAAAGGTTCAGTGCACCAATTTTCAGAAATGGATTTAAAACACTGCTGTAATATCAAAGATGGAAATATTGTAAGCCAACCTGTAATGAAATTCAGTTTTCAATCTGTAAACAATAACCCTGTAAATCAGTAAAAGGGCCTTTGCTGTCACTAGCACTTCATGAGCTATCATGGAGCAGAATCGCAATCAAGAGATTTTGGAGGCATAATGTTTAGAAGTTGTGGCAGCTAGTGCTCATTTTGCCTGGCGCCCTGATATAATCAAATGAAAATTAGAAGGAGAAACTACATGGAACTGAACCTATGCGTTTTTCATCAGCTACAGCTTTAATAATAATATTTCTGCCTAGAATCCAACACCATGCTGCTCTCTGGCAGTACATTATTACCCTGACGGAATTGTACTTTCAAAGCCGCTTAAGCACTTCACGCGACCGTATAAGTCCATACATCTACATCTCAGGTACCCATTTTAAACAGCTGGGTGGACTGAGTGCAATGTGGACGAAGTGCCTTGCCCAGGTCACAAATTTTGCTGTCCCAACCGGGATTCGAACCCGGGCCTGTGGCGTGAGAGGCCAGCATGCTAACCACTACACCACTGTGCTCCACACCACTGTGCTTTGACATCAGTAAGCCATAGCATTATTAACCGATTGGTCTAGATGTTGGTCAGGGGCACTTACTGGAATGGAACAAATGTTTTGGTAAATACAGTACTAAAGATGATGACGAATCTCCTGTAAGACAGTTTGCTTATATTCAAGTGTGTGGATCCAGATTGATTAAGCAACAAAAGAAGTATAAATATAAGAAATTTACAACAAAAACTGCACCCAAATTCAAGCCACTGTGCCAAAGTTCATTGCCATGATACTACTGCTGAAATCACTCCTCCATTACAAGCACAAAATGACTGCAATCACCATTTACATGTTCAAAAAGGTTCAGTGCACCAATTTTCAGAAATGGATTTAAAACACTGCTGTAATATCAAAGATGGAAATATTGTAAGCCAACCTGTAATGAAATTCAGTTTTCAATCTGTAAACAATAACCCTGTATATCAGTAAAAGGGCCTTTGCTGTCACTAGCACTTCATGAGCTATCATGGAGCAGAATCACAATCAAGAGATTTTGGAGGCATAATGTTTAGAAATTGTGGCAGCTAGTTCTCATATTGCCTGGCGCCCTGATATAATCAAATGAAAATTAGAAGGAGAAGCGACTTAAACTGAACCTATGTTGTTCAGCAGAGACAACTTGTCATCAAGAAGCTATAGCATTAGTTTATACAAACTATTAACAGATTGATCCTAATGTTGGTCAGGGGCACCTACTGGAATGGGGAATATATTTGGCAAATATGGTAAAAAAAATTGATGACGAATCTCCTGCAAGATATTTTTTCTTAGTTACATTCAAGTGTATAGTTCCAGATTGATTAAGCAACAAAAGAAGTATAACTATAAGAAAGTTACAACTAAAACTGCGGCCTAAATTCAAGCCACTGTGCCAAAGTTCGTTGATACAATACTATTGCCGAAATCCCTCCTACATTACAAACACAAAATGGTTGGTTGGTATTTAACATCACACTCAGCAAATATTCCAGCTATATGGGGGCAGTCTGAAAATAATCGAGGCAAGACCAGACAATCCAGTGATCAACAGCATGGGTATTGATCTACACAACTGGGATACGATGACATGTGTCCACCAAGTGAGCAAGCCTGACACCCCGACCCTGTTTGACACCTCTTACGACAAGCATGGGTTGCTGAAGACAACTTCTAACCCAGATCATCATGGGTACAAGCACAAAATGAATGCAACTAACATTAATATCTTCAAAAAGGTTCAGTGCACCAATTTTCAGAAATGGATTTAAAACACTGCTGTAATGTCAAAGATGGAAATATTGTAAGCCAACCTGTAATGAAATTCAGTTTTCAATCTGTAAACAATAACCCTGTAAATCAGTAAAAGGGCCTTTGCTGTCACTAGCACTTCATGAGCTATCATGGAGCAGAATCGCAATCAAGAGATTTTGGAGGCATAATGTTTAGAAGTTGTGGCAGCTAGTGCTCATATTGCCTGGCGCCCTGATATAATCAAATGAAAATTAGAAGGAGAAACTACATGGAACTGAACCTATGCGTTCTTCATCAGCTACAGCTTTAATAATAATAAAAAAAATTTCTGCCTAGAATCCAACACCATGCTGCTCTCTGGCAGTACATTATTACCCTGACGGAATTGTACTTTCAAAGCCGCTTAAGCACTTCACGCGACCGTATAAGTCCATACATCTACATCTCAGGTACCCATTTTAAACAGCTGGGTGGACTGAGTGCAATGTGGATGAAGTGCCTTGCCCAGGTCACAAATTTTGCTGTCCCAACCGGGATTCGAACCCGGGCCTTTGGCGTGAGAGGCCAGCATGCTAACCACTACACCACTGTGCTCCACACCACTGTGCTTTGACATCAGTAAGCCATAGCATTATTAACCGATTGGTCTAGATGTTGGTCAGGGGCACTTACTGGAATGGGACAAATGTTTTGGTAAATACAGTACTAAAGATGATGACGAATCTCCTGTAAGACAGTTTGCTTATATTCAAGTGTGTGGATCCAGATTGATTAAGCAACAAAAGAAGTATAAATATAAGAAATTTACAACAAAAACTGCACCCAAATTCAAGCCACTGTGCCAAAGTTCATTGCCATGATACTACTGCTGAAATCACTCCTCCATTACAAGCACAAAATGACTGCAATCACCATTTACATGTTCAAAAAGGTTCAGTGCACCAATTTTCAGAAATGGATTTAAAACACTGCTGTAATATCAAAGATGGAAATATTGTAAGCCAACCTGTAATGAAATTTAGTTTTCAATCTGTAAACAATAACCCTGTATATCAGTAAAAGGGCCTTTGCTGTCACTAGCACTTCATGAGCTATCATGGAGCAGAATCGCTATCAAGAGATTTTGGAGGCATAATGTTTAGAAGTTGTGGCAGCTAGTGCTCATTTTGCCTGGTGCCCTGATATAATCAAATGAAAATTAGAAGGAGAAACTACATGGAACTGAACCTAGTTCAGCAGATACAGCTTTAATAATAATAATATTTTTTGCGCCTAGAATCCAACACCATATGCTGCTCTCTGGCAGTACATTATTACCCTGACGGAATTGTACTTTCAAAGCTGCTTAAGCACTTCGCGCGACCGTATAGGTCCATACATCTACTTCTCAGGTACCCATTTTAAACAGCTGGGTGGACTGAGTGCAATGTGGATGAAGTGCCTTGCCCAGGTCACAAATATTGCTGTCCCAACCAGGATTCGAACCTGGGCCTGTAGCGTGAGAGGCCAGCATGCTAACCACTACACCACTGTGCTCCACACCACTGTGCTTTGACATCAGTAAGCCATAGCATTATTAACCGATTGGTCTAGATGTTGGTCAGGGGCACTTACTGGAATGGGACAAATGTTTTGGTAAATACAGTACTAAAGATGATGACGAATCTCCTGTAAGACAGTTTGCTTATATTCAAGTGTGTGGATCCAGATTGATTAAGCAACAAAAGAAGTATAAATATAAGAAATTTACAACAAAAACTGCACCCAAATTCAAGCCACTGTGCCAAAGTTCATTGCCATGATACTACTGCTGAAATCACTCCTCCATTACAAGCACAAAATGACTGCAATCACCATTTACATGTTCAAAAAGGTTCAGTGCACCAATTTTCAGAAATGGATTTAAAACACTGCTGTAATATCAAAGATGGAAATATTGTAAGCCAACCTGTAATGAAATTTAGTTTTCAATCTGTAAACAATGACCCTGTAAATCAGTAAAAGGGCCTTTGCTGTCACTAGCACTTCATGAGCTATCATGGAGCAGAATCATAATCAAGAGATTTTGGATGCAGAATTGTTGCAATTCAAGATAATTTTGGAGCAACTTAAACTGCTATTAGTTTTGCTCATATTGCCTGGCGCCCTGATATAATCAAATGAAAATTTAAAGGAGAAACTATATGGAACTGAACCTATGCCTTGTTCAGCAGAGACGACTTTGTCATCAGAAAGCCATAGCATTAGTTTATACAAATTATTAACAGATTGATCCTAATGTTGGTCAGGGGCGCCTACTGGAATGGGGAATATATAGATCGTTATACAGTTGAAACAGGATTTTCATTGTCAAATACATGTGAAGATCAGGATTAGAATATTGATTTTCAGTAACCCATGCTTGTCATAAGAGGCGACTAATGGGATCGGGTGGTCAGGCTCGCTGACTTGGTTGACACATGTCACTGGATTGTCTGGTCCAGACTCAATTATTTACAGACCACCGCCATATGGCTGGAATATTGCTGAGTGTGGCGTAAAACTAAACTCACTTACTCAATCATTGTCAAAATGTCATTTATCTGAAAACAGTGGCTGAATTATTGCAAACTTAAGTTCCAAAACATATCTGACCATTGGATGTCCATTTTTGGCTTGTTTCATTATAAGCCACCATTATACATTGATATATTGGTCTTATGCTTGGCTGTTTATGTGCAATATCAGGCCAAGTAAATAATATTTCTGTGATATGTGTGTGTTACTCCCAGGTCCTCTGATGTGCCAGTAACGTTATGCAGGGTGTAGATGTCAGAACAGCCACAACACTCACATCATACACAGCCACGACTGGTCAAAGTCCACCCCACCCATCTCACTGTTAGCAACGGTTCCTTGGATTGTCTTGGACAACAGAAGACCTGAAATAATAACATTTAGCCATCAATAATCAGGAACAACATAACAGTGTAAAAATTGGGTAACACTTAACCCTACAGAATCAGCTGTATACAGAGATCTTAATTGACTCACCTGAATCAGCTGTATACAGAGATCTTAATTAACCCTACTGAATCAGCTGTATACAGAGATCTTAATTGACTCACCTGAATCAGCTGTAAACAGAGATCTTAATTAACCCTACTCAATCAGCTGTATACAGGGATCTTAATTGACTCACCTGAATCAGCTGTAAACAGAGATCTTAATTAACCCTACAGAATCAGCTGTATACAGATCTTAATTGACTCACCTTCAGCTGTATACCCTTAATTGACTCACCTGAATCAGCTGTAAACAGAGATCTTAATTAACCCTACAGAATCAGCTGTATACAGAGATCTTAATTGACTCACCTGAATCAGCTGTAAACAGAGATCTTAATTAACCCTACTCAATCAGCTGTATACAGGGATCTTAATTGACTCACCTGAATCAGCTGTAAACAGAGATCTTAATTAACCCTACAGAATCAGCTGTATACAGAGATCTTAATTGACTCACCTGAATCAGCTGTAAACAGAGATCTTAATTAACCCTACTCAATCAGCTGTATACAGGGATCTTAATTGACTCACCTGAATCAGCTGTATACAGAGATCTTAATTGACTCACCTGAATCAGCTGTATACAGAGATCTTAATTGACTCACCTGAATCAGCTGTATACAGAGATCTTAATTGACACACCTGAATCAGCTGTATACAGAGATCTTAATTGACTCACCTGAATCAGCTGTATACAGGGATGCTTTAGCCTCTGCAATGTCAAACTCTGGGTTGTCCTGGTTCTTGATGAAGCGGTTGAGCATGATGTTGACAATTTCCTGCATCCCAGTTTCATGGAGGTCCAGCATGAGTGTGGCATCCTTCAGGTAACTTTCCACGTCCAGAGATGCCCGGACCTCAGCGGAGAAGTCTTTCACAGGGACTGCCTATACAGTGAGAAGGTTACAGATGTGAAACTTTCCACAGGAATTGTCTATACAGTGAGAAGGTTAGAGAGTGAAACCTGATTTTTAGTTATGTGAAACCTTCACAGGGATGGTCTATACAGAGAGAAGGTTACAGATGTGAAACCTTCACAGGGATGGTCTATACAGAGAGAAGGTTACAGATGTGAAACCTTCACAGGGATTGTCTATACAGAGAGAAGGTTATAGATGTGAAACCTTCTCAGGGATTGTCTATACAGAGAGAAGGTTACAGATGTGAAACCTTCACAGAGGTGGAAGTGAATGTGTAAATGTCAGTGACACTGTGACTGTGTCAGTGTTAGGTCCCATGCCCTCAGGTGACACACAACCAACCACTTTACACCTTATGTTCACCTGATCCTATACAGAGAGAAGGTTATAGATGTGAAACCTGATCCACGGGGCTGCAGGGGATCCTCAATCAGATGACTTTCATTTACCGTATATGACCGTAGATAAGCCAAATTTTGAGCACCAAAAAAGGCAGTCTATAGAAGGGGTCAGGTTATCTATAGGTTACACTATTGTCAAACCTTTTTTCAGGTGGTAAGAAAATGACATTGTATCGCTTAGCGTGAATGAACAAGAGAAAATGACTTTGTCAGTGAATTTGCAGTTTGCAATTAAACCACTAGACAAGATTATTTACCTTTTCAGTTATAATTTGTTTTTGTTGGGCATTGTATTATAAGCAGGGATTAAGATTATCATGTGTAATTGTCTCATACGCAGTACCAGAAAGAACAATCAGCAATCATTCTTGAATCACATTTTGAGTAAAATCAATAAACTAGATTGCAAACATAAGTCCAGATATGCAAAGAACATGTTTTATTACAAGATTGTGTAACAATGGGATTTATTTGTGTAATCCAATATGAATTTGTTGACACGCTAGTTCTGATGACTGATCACAACGAGAAGATGAACAAAGGTTGGTGGTTCTAATTTTATGGGTAAAGTTAGAACCTCTGCTTATCTATGAGATCGGCTTATCTACAGTAATATATGGTAGTTTCTATAGCATGCATATATACATGTAGGGGTTGTGGGGATCAGCTGACTTTTCAAGCCATTAACGTAATCCTTAAAGTAACCTTGACCACAGAATAATTTGTATTATTATCTCATCTAAACAGAAATCTATTCACAACTTACCTCAAATTTAGTATGCAGTAAGCTGACATCTTCTCCATCTGAAACAGTCAGAGAAATCCATTATAACAAGTGCAGCATGTTGTCACCAGTCCTAATGCACAGTGCTTGTGTATGCCTCAAACTTGACAAGAGGTTCGAGTACTTCCAGAAACCTCTACAGCATCCTTAAAGAGCAGTTTTCCTGGAAATAATTATTACAAGAACTTACAGAACTTTTTCTCATCCATTTGGTTGCAGTTAAATTTTAACTCACTCACTCACTCTCTCCAAAAAGGGAAATCTTCCTCAATGATCAGTTTTACTACAATGACATACATTTGATAAGAAGATGATGATGTCCATTAGCTTCCACTGTAATCTCTGGCTGGATGTTACACATCATAATGCCCGCATCATCTATAGGTACAGTGTTGTACATATTGTTAGAGAGATCTGTCATCTCCAACAATGTTATACATGGGAATATACCACTGTCTTATTCCACAACACACTATACTGTCATATAATGTCCTGATTCACTGAGTCACCGGGACAACTGTTGCTTTCTTTGGAAGATATTCTGCAGCCGACATGCAAGTACTTGTATAAGCCACGGTTCTAATCACCAGACAGCTTAATGTAATCCTGAGCAGTAAACCCTTGCACCAGTCTGAGGCCAGTGTAGAATAATATGTTCAACTGTAAAATATCCACCATCACATGGTATAGAGAACTTGATAATTATGTTTTAGAGATTCATCAAACAGGGAATGTCACCTGTCATCTTCCATCACATATCAGATTTCATCTCACTTTCCATATTGTCTGTCAGGTTCATAATGTTTCAATATCGTTACTTCCAGTCCAGCATGTGACAGTGAGGATACAGTGGATCTCTAGCGCCATTGTCAAATTGTCATCACACTTGGCACTTGTTCACGAAGCATACACATTCTGCCCATGTATATCAGACATTGGTCATCATTGTTCTGTAACTTCACTGATAACTGAACAAGTTGCATGCCTTAACAGAATTTGTCAACTTTTCAAAGATCACAGAATCAAACTTGAAACCTGCAAGAATGATAAGAAACAGTGATCCTTTGGAGTCCTTGATGTGACAGCATACTGGCGGAAACCTGAGCCCTGCCCAGTAATAGAGAAGACTTACGTCACCTCTGATTGATGACCAGGAGAAGTGGTAACCAAGAAGTGCTGCTGGAGCTGTCAGGTTTCAATGAGAGTTTGGGTGACAGTGGGTGCTCCACAGTAACATAGTCTTCATTAATCTCAAACTGGTATAACTGAGCACTAGGTTCTCGTTCATCCCATCTCCCGGTGAGAGAAAACACCCGACTGAGCGGTCCGCAGTTCTACCTGCACTCCAGCCAAGTAGGCTGGCAGTTTGACTTGGCATTTGTCTTACACTGACATTTGCTAAATGTCAGCACAATGTGAGTCAGGTATATGATACAAGGCCCTTGGATGAAGGAACATTATGTCTACATGTCTGCCCAGCCTACACTGAGAAGGAAATGGTCTCAAAGGTCCACCCAAACCCCCGAGTAAGGTCACATGGTCTGTCACAAGGAAAAATTAATCAGCTTTAGCAATGGGCATTAGCCAGAAGCCAAATCCACATGCAAGTGGAAAGTTATCCATGGTTTGATGAACTTATATACCTGGGGTAGTGTATACTGTATTCAACCTAGTAGGGCTTGTCCCCTAGCAACCATGTACTTCCTGTATCTATACTTGACTGCCGATGGTACATGAGCAAGTGTTTCTGAATGTATCCCAAAGCAGTGTTGATATTATACAACAATGATGATGCCAAGGAGGAGGACAATAGCTAGATATGCTAGATATGCCATAATGTCGCGTTATTACCCTGGTCCAGAGATCAGTGTGCACTCAGCTCCCTTTGGAGTATGCGGCCTCTGAGGCATGAGAAGGCTCACATTATATTCTCCTCCTGCCTGGTACCCATTCACTGCTTGGTGAACAGAAGCATGTCTGGAACAAAGCCACTAACCTAATGAGACACCACACATACATATCCTACTGACATAGGCCAGCAGACCAGAGGCTGTGTCTAGGGATATACCTCCATACACTGATACTGTACCACAGGCTGTGTTGTCAACAGGTGTCCTGTGGTACAGTGTGGATGACACACCTCTATACACTGATACTGTACCACAGGCTGTGTTGTCAACAGGTGTCCTGTGGTACAGTGTGGATGACACACCTCCATACACTGATACTGTATCACAGGCTGTGGTGTCAACAGGTGCCCTGTGGTACAGTGTGGATGACACACCTCCATACACTGATACTGTACCACAGGCTGTGGTGTCAACAGGTGTCCTGTGGTACAGTGTAATGCCAATATAATAATCTTAGATTTTTAGGAATATGAATGTTTTTAGGTAAACACCATGAGATCAGTCACCTTTGTGTGCTGGCTATTAGGTGCCTGACTCTGAGGGTGTGGGTTCGGAGCCCGGATGGGACTCAACCCAACAAAAGTACTAGAATCTGTACTTTACTAAAAAAATATAATCCCAAATATAACATATGTTACGTTTGGCCACTTTCTAAAAGGCATTGTGCATTCAAAGTTTATAATTATCAGTAAAATTGACAATATCACCACTCATTTTACCCAGATGTATTGAGATGGATCTAAGCTGCATGTTTTACAACACAACACACTATTTACCTGTGACAGTTTAAAACTTAGCACACTGCTGACCATTTTTTTGTTACATTTATATGGCTCTTAAATGTCAGGTCAAAGGTAGTGTTATGGCATTTATACAACAGCAACCTACATAAACTAAACCTAAACCAGAGACAAACAGTAGTTATATGTATTTGCTGTCAATTTAGATTGTGTAGGTATAAACATTTTGGTTGATCTGACCAATTTATTTTGGGTGACAAATGTAGTGCAGGTCACAGTATGGTCCATCTGTTGTCTTCCTATTGACCTGCAACATCTGCCAGACCCAGAAGGAAATAGCAGTCATAACCATCATGCTATAAGCCCCATATACAACAGTGCCCAGGTCAGAGGACGGCTTATGTTGTGTGCTGATTTCATTATTACAACCACTGTGACAGACTTGATTGTAACTCTTGACAGAGAGCTGAAGGAAATACATGTAGAGAATTTGATACTTCTCTATTTGATTTAAATTTGTAATGTGTGAATAACATTTTTCACAATAAATAATTTATACACAGAAAGTGATATATGCAATAGGAAGAGGTAATTGGTGAAAACTGAGAAATAATAACACCGAGATAAAAATATTAAAGTAGAAAAATATAGGGAATAAAGATAAACACAGTGTAAGTATAAATACAGACAAATAGCTGACCTGCACACTATCCACATGTTTTGTACTTACACAAATTGTATGGACCACTTTCAAGTAATTTATCCATCTGTAATCCTTGAATTAGTTTTTTCAGCCCAACACTTTTTAAGTGCTCCCTGGTATGTTTAGAGCAAGATGTTTCCCTTCCTCGTTTATTTAAGAATCAATGGCCATCGCTGCCTGACACGGGGTGAGGTAGGTTGGGGATGCCTCACAAACGTGTGTCACATCCGTGTGGCCAGTGGAGTGGACGTGGGTCTCCGGGGAAAACAGCCTGTGTTTGAGGCTCTTATAAGTGCTCCACGCTTTCACAGGCCTCTCTTGTAAATATCTTATCACGTGTACACAGTTATATGTCGACGTCATCACAAGTTGACAGGCAATGCCTCATTGATCTGAGCTCACTCAGAAGTAAGCTATGATCTTATGGATTTAGGATCAGTTCACTGAGAGTATGTTGAAGGGGTTTCAGTCGTAGTTCATTTTCAGCTATTTAATTCACAATACATGTCATTCGGTTGTGGAACAGATGTATTTGCTACAAAGTTCATCTAAGAAAATATAAAATAAGGTTATTATTATTAATTTACTTGCCTAAATTTTAAGTCACTTTTTACAGAATACATATCATCAATATGATTGTGTTAAATACCCTTGTACAGCAATGGAACCACAAGACTTTGTATGGTATTGCTGTATGTGTTTGCGATCGTCTCACCTAAAGGTACGGTTCTCTAGATAGTACCTGTTAATGTGTCAGTTGCTCTTGTGACTTCCATCACCTACTGTGTATGTTGTAAGTATACCTAGCAACAAACTAAAAAAGCAAACCCATAAAGCAAATAAGTTTAATTGATTAGATTAAGAGCTCCTGACACTTTTCTTTGTTGTTTAAGTTTTCACTTAGTGATAAGAAATATTTAGACTGTCAAGTCTATTCACTTTTTATCTAATACAAACTGTTTGAAGTATGTATAACGGGATCCTAAATACATTTTCCTTCCTGGTTTACTGACGACCATCCGCAACACTTGGTGAGCTCACAGATTTACCCTGTATCTATAACAAGAATAACAATGTGTCCTTTTTAAACTTTCTCAATAGGCAGACTCCCTTGCTGGTGAGTGATGTTGGTGATGTCAACCAAGAAAGTCACCAACAGAGAGTGATGTCAACCAAGAAAGTCACCAACAGAGTGATGTCAACCAAGAAAGTCACCAACAGAGAGTGATGTCAACCAAGAAAGTCACCAACAGAGAGTGATGTCAACCAAGAAAGTCACCAACAGAGAGTGATGTCAACCAAGAAAGTCACCAACAGAGTGATGTGAAACCAAGAAAGTCACCAACAGAGAGTGATGTCATCCAAGAAAGTCACCAACAGAGTGATGTGAAACCAAGAAAGTCACCAACAGAGAGTGATGTCATCCAAGAAAGTCACCAACAGAGTGATGTCAACCAAGAAAGTCACCAACAGAGAGTGATGTCAACCAAGAAAGTCACCAACAGAATGATGTCAAACCAAGAAAGTCACCAACAGAGAGTGATGTCATCCAAGAAAGTCACCAACAGAGTGATGTCAACCAAGAAAGTCACCAACAGAGTGATGTCAACCAAGAAAGTCACCAACAGAGTGATGTCAACTAAGAAAGTCACCAACAGAGTGATCTAAACCAAGAAAGTCACCAATAGAGTGAAGTCAACCAAGAAAGTCACCAATAGAGAGTGATGTCAACCAAGAAAGTCAACTAGAGAGTGGTGTCCATAGTTTGACCAGTATTACAGTTCTATAACCATCAGGTGACGTATCACTCCAGAAGCCAAGAAACACACCGGCCTCATAAAGTCCAGGTCCAACAATAATCCCACATCAATCAGATTATGAGAAACACTTCAGTTACTCTTAATGATGGAACTCCTCCAATAGTGAAACACAGTGGCATGAACAGGTCTGTAACAGCTGTATAACGTTTGATGGGTCTGATAACACGTGTTATATGGGATTTACAAGCACCTGCCTTCAACCTCCACCATCTCTTTAAATAAAGATGTGTCAAGTAGAGAAAATACAGTCCTCGTTACCGATATCCAGGATATTTATCTTTATTTATCTTAGAAAGGAGACACAATACCCTGGAGGTGAGGGGAGGACTAAATTATAGACATGAAGCTATTCAAAATTACATTATCTTATGTCAGTAAATATATAGAAAGGAGGTTGGCACATGACTGATTATCACAAGGAGCTCTCGCCAACTGATGAGGCTCATTCAGGGAAGGTAATTGTATTTGGGTCTTTTTTCTGATCCTCCATGAGACAAACACAGAGAGGGAACAAAGGCCTCTAAACGAGACTGGGGGACAGTGGTTCAGACAAAGGAAGCATGTGTATGCCAGACATCACCATTCCATACCTGATTACCTCAGAGAGGAAGGGGCATCACGTGGACTCCGCTAACTGACATAAGATTCAATGCAGCCACTGGACAACATATTATCATGCATTCCTCAGTGACATCGATGGGGACAGCAAGATCAGGTTGCTAAGTAATTGTCTGGCAAGAACGTAGTTGGGAAGGAAAAAGCATTAGTTTCTAGGATTGCAAGAAGATCTTTAAGAACTAAAGATTAGACAGGGCTTGTGCTGTAGGAGCACAGATCTTCATTGATTTACTTCACAGTGACCCTTGCTTGTCCAGACGCATTTGTCTGCATCTCCTACAGTCTGACAAAACTGATTTTCCTAAAATGTCAAGTTCATATTAAAATACAGTCAAGTCTTGTTAATTTGACATCTTTCATTGCACAGTTAATTGTCAGATTAACAAGAATATCGGATCATCAAATTCTGAGTACAGATCACGTTCATGGTCAAAAACAGGACAATCACTATTCATGTTAAGTGTGTGTGTAAATAAAACTAAAACGATAATTAATTCAGAGTTCAGGTACTTTATTAGCCACCAAAAAATGCACAACAATGTAACCAGTCTCATTTTTAACATTGCATATATATTGAAGCAATAAAACCATCTAAAACTTACTCACATATGCCAGTCAATACACACTTCCATCACTATAGGCTACATATTTTCCAAACAACTAATCACTTTAATCAAAAAGGTCTCTGATGATCTTTTGGCATTTAGCTTTGCTTGTAATGTTTCTGAGTGTTTGTTGCATCTTTGCAATGGCATCGAGGTCAGCAACGCTGAACACATCCAAATGTTCTACACCATTACAGTGTAATTACGACAGTCGGTTGTTAATTGATCCTGTCGGAGTCGGAATGTGGGACTGTCGGATTAACTAGACTAAATTATGTTGATTCAATGTGTTACTGACAAAAACGTGGGATAAAGCCAATTGTCAGATAAACGGAAGTCGGATTAACAGGACTGTACTGTGTGTGACGAATTGGGGACGTATATTGGTGGTTATATAACCGCAAATTTAACATTATATCTGCGACGTGTATAGGGGATAACTGTACTGTGTTTGACGAATTGGGGACGTATACTGGTGGTTATATAACCGCAAATTTAACATTATATCGGTGACGTGTATAGGGGATAACTATACTGTGTTTGACGAATTGGGGACGTATATTGGTGGTTATATAACCACAAATTTAACATTATATCGGCGACGTGTATAGGGGATAACTGTACTGTGTGTGACGAATTGGGGACGTATATTGGTGGTTATATAACCGCAAATTTAACATTATATCGGCGACGTGTATAGGGGATAACTGTACTGTGTTTGGCGAATTGGGGACGTATACCGGTGGTTATATAACCCATAAATTTAACATTATATCGGCGATGTGTATAGGGGATAACTGTACTGTGTTTGACGAATTGGGGACGTATACTGGTGGTTATATAACCGCAAATTTAACATTATATCGGCGACGTGTATAGGGGATAACTGTACTGTGTTTGACGAATTGGGGAAGTATACTGGTGGTTATATAACCTCAAAATTAACATTATATCGGCGATGTGTATAGGGGATAACTACTGTGTTTGACGAATTGGGACGTATACTGGTGGTTATATAACCGCAGATTTAACATTATATCGGCGACGTGTATAGGGGATAACTGTACTGTGTGTGACGAATTGGGGACGTATATTGGTGGTTATATAACCACAAATTTAACATTATATCGGCGACGTGTATAGGGGATAACTGTACTGTGTGTGACGAATTGGGGACGTATATTGGTGGTTATATAACCGCAAATTTAACATTATATCGGCGACGTGTATAGGGGATAACTGTACTGTGTTTGGCGAATTGGGGACGTATACCGGTGGTTATATAACCGCAAATTTAACATTATATCGGCGATGTGTATAGGGGATAACTGTACTGTGTTTGACGAATTGGGGACGTATACTGGTGGTTATATAACCGCAAATTTAACATTATATCGGCGACGTGTATAGGGGATAACTGTACTGTGTTTGACGAATTGGGGAAGTATACTGGTGGTTATATAACCGCAAATTTAACATTATATCAGCGATGTGTATAGGGGATAACTACTGTGTTTGACGAATTGGGACGTATACTGGTGGTTATATAACCGCAGATTTAACATTATATCGGCGACGTGTATAGGGGATAACTGTACTGTGTTTGATGAATTGGGGACGTATACCGGTGGTCAGCCCTGCGTACCCCATTTTAATTCAACTCTTTTTACGCTGTTTTTTCGTGAAAGAAATTCATTATTTAAACCAGGTCAAAGGATAATCATATCACTCCTTGAAATTATGCCATCGCCAGAAAAAGTAGTTCACTTTTCAAACTTCAAAACGTTTATTATGTGCACACTTACTAAATCTGACAATGATGAATAAATAATAGTGTTATAGCTAAAATGGACAGAATTATCATGAAACCGCCCTCTAGTTATCAGAAATGAGCGGGCCGCTGCAAATGACAATGGCCCGCTGATTCCTCAATGACGGGCCATTATCAGGTGTGTTGTCAAATAACGCTCCATAATGACATCATAAATCTTGTTACATGATCTATTAGTGTTGGGTCAACAGCACGTTGCGGTTGTTTGAAGTAAATTTACAATTAAATTTATGATACTGTTTTGTCTTTTTGAACACAAATTCCATCCATGTTAGCGGAATAGGGGAGTTAACATACCTAGGGCTTCTGCAAATGATAATGCCCTGAAAAACAGCGTTACCTCAGTAGTGTAGGGATACATTCAAAGGTTTTGGTGAATCGGTTTTCAAATTGCAACCGTATATGCTGATTATACGGTCGGAAATTTATAGCATTGACCAATCAGAACTCGTGTTACATACTAAGTTGAATTAGAATTATACACATAACTGATTGTCCCTATCAAACCAGAGTAGTATATGTGAACAAAAGTAAGTCTTTTTGACACAAGATCATATTCATGGGACATTTCATTGAGTGGCATTTTAGAAGTTGTAAAGCCAACTTGATTGATAACCGTGTTAGTACCTATACCGAAACATTGAATTCATTGCAATAAAGAAGTTGACTCTCCATAGAACTTGGTTTTCCTTCATAGGAGATGTTAATTAAAACCTGACAATCATGTGGCAAAATGTATTCTTGGGTCACAAATTCATCATACTTATATTTTCATTTTATGCTTTAAAAATCTGCCTTTTCCACTAATTTTTGTCAAATTTGCCTTTGGAAAACTTGCAACTGCAAGACAAATGGCTTGAGTAAAGCTATTTGAACATGTCATAATGTTTATGCATTCATTTCAAAGTCTTGCCAGAACCTCAAATTTTACATTTCCTGCAGGAGAAGAAAAGAGCATTCCTTCCACCTCTTAATTTCCTAATCTGAACAGGTTTTTGGTTGAACAGGTTTTCTATTTGTATCAGTTTACAGAATGGAATAAGTCAAGGATAAATAAGGTAACTGGTTTCACCTGTCATCATTATCTACAGGGCTGTTTGTGGATCATAGATGCCAGATCTGTGAGTTAGTGATCTATAGCCACATGAACCAAATTTAAGTTACATCACAGTACACAGGTTTGTTGTAAGATGAAAACCCAGGGTGACACAGGTCATATATGTTTATTACTTTGATGCAACCCAAATTTAGATTGTATTGATGGATCACCTGCCATCATCAGGCTGAATACTGGATTTAAACCCATGATCAGTGGATCCTGCCACCGGTAAGGGACATAACTGTGCCTAGAAAATTGTTGTGCCTTAGACCACTGGGCCACCTACATCGTCTGTTTAAGTCAAACATCAACCCAGACTTCTTGCTGTAATCTAAGCTGTAACGCTTTCCTTACCTGGGATCCCAGAAATGGAGTAGACACTGTGCCTTAACCCAGGTCCATCAAGTCTCCCAGGCCGAGGGGCATCATCTCCTGGCACAGTCAGTAGGTGCAGCTGCTCCACAGGGGGTCCGTTCTGCCTCCTCCGAACCACCTGTACTTCCTCTTCTGTATCACTCATCTCCCTAAAACACAATACCAGCATTACTTGCCATCCTGGTGCAGTCTGTCTGACTGGTCAGGCCTGCAAGGAAATGTTGAGTCTATATGGATTTGGGATGCTTCTCTTGCCAAGTAATATGCCCGGAATGTCCTCCTGTCCCCACATTAGATCATGTAAAGCTTGTAGCAGTGCATAAAACATGTGCCATGGCCAACTGGACACACTCAACTGTCAGATATGTTCATTTTTTAAGGTAATTAAATTGTCACCCATACCAAGACCCTTCTAGTCAGTAGATCAGCTAACTTCTCACAAACAGTCAACATAGATTCTCCTCCAACAAGACAATTAGGAATATCTTCCACAACAAAGGTAACAGTCCCACTCAGAAACTTCAAGCCGTAATAGAGCCATCAGAATAGAAAAACACAAGACATCTGACATCTTTAGGAACCATTCATACAAAATCCTGACAACCATACTTCCTGACAACAAGATACTCCATGTCAGCATCTACGGAAAACCTATATCAGCCAATATTTCTTTGAAAATCCAACTTTGCACAAATATGTTCAGCTCATGCAATTCACTGATAAAAAGACAACCCAAGCTACAGCTATGTTCCTGTACAAAGTGTTCAATGAATGTCGTGTAAACTCATGAACTCTAAAACTAAAAGTAAGGCATACAATATAATCAATCGATTTCAATACTGTATTCTGGGCCTGAGGCCTTATACTATAATAGACTTGTCTCTGTCAACCCAGGGGAAGAAAGGAAACTTCAAGAAACTGCTGAAATCCAAAGGTACCAACAATTAACAGAGACCAAGGCATACCCAGTGGGTACTCCACTATGCTTTAATCCTGTAATCCAACCAAAACGGACACCTTGATTGCCTTATTGATGGCTGTTTGTTATCTCATCAAATCCAATCACTACACATTCATTGTACCTGACTGGTTTCTCTCCTGTTAGTCTCATTGGCTTTGTAATTGTTTTGTCATCTTTGTACATAAATCCTATCTTGTATACACATGGCATTACGCATTGGCGGATCCTGATGGGTGGGGTGGGGTTTCCAACATGACTAAAGACCACATTGAATTGAATATTTACATGATGAAAAGGTGCTCTGATGATAACGAAGTTATCATCTTTAAAAAATTGTCAAACATCCAGAATGTTTCTACTTTCATATCTTACGAGGAAAAGGTTTTCCAACTTGTAAGTTTGGATAATCAGGCATTCATAGTGATTACAAATTGTATCCTCTACGATTATTGTACTACAGGTCATGATGTGAGCATATATACATGAACTGCAACATGTGAATTGTGATGTTAGTGTTGCACTTCCACTGTGCCTATAACCAGATATTACTCATGTGAATATAGATAGGATACCACAGTTCCACCTGCCAGTGATTGGATGTAAATGACATTGCTACATTTGTAACCCCTTCCAGCCCTACATACCCTTGTTACCAGGGTAACCCATTCCAGCCCTACATGACCTTGTTACTGGGGTAACCCCTCACAGCCCAAGACCCCAAAATGTGCAGATCAAATGATGAAAAAACCCAATGCAATGAAACCCTTCAGTTTCGTTTTTGAACTTTGTACATACATGGTTGGTATTTGAAAAGACCTTGATTAACTAGTTTCACTCATTTTTATTTGGCATTTTTTATGAATGTTTTAGATGAATGTTAATTCATTTACAACATTTGAATACACCTAAATACTGCTTAGATCACGGTGCAGCTATTAATGATATCCACTGAGGCTATAACCCCTGTAGGTACGCTTACCTGTATCACTTACCTGGGTCAGGTAGGGAAATGGTTAGTTTTAGCTCTGTGATTGGCAGGCTGGTTGGTTTCAATAAAAGACTAAAACTTGAATTTCATTTTGTCTACATTTCTGATTGCTATGATTGGCTTATCCATAAATCAGGTCACTACACACAAAACATTTCCCTGTCAGCCATGCTATTATCATATATAACACACTTCATTCTGTATGGCTTCGAACAATAAATCATTTGCATACTGAATGCATTAAGTACATTGTATCTGTAGCACCAGTATGGTATTCAGCCTGATGATGTATAGTAACAAGAGCATATCACAACGTCCCAGTGTCGCAACTCTCGCTCACAGACTACGGGTAATAAAAGAGGCCTTCACTTAATCAAGTTTCTGGACATACATTAGTTGTTTGTGATGGAGATTTCCCGTGGCATATGCCAAAATATCACATTATTATCACAATACCTAATCCAATTTCTTGAAAAATGGCACTAATATAGCTTTAGGATGAAACAAAATATTGTATATACCAAAAATAATCAATATGAAACAATGCTGTCTGACTTATCATCTCACTTATGTCAGGAAATGCATTAGTCCTGTCAAAATTAAAATAAAGCGAGGCTTCATGTTATTTATCAGCTAGTGAATAAACAATACAGAGTAACCTGCTACAAGACAAGATAAGGTGAGCTTGTGTTGTTCTTATGATTACAGTCTGACAGAATCTATTAAATCTATTTACAAACCAGAAGAACAGGAACACATTCCGGAGAAGTCAAAGCATTCTATTTTCTGTCCATGTATCAGTGATGTGTTGTGGGGGTGGTGCCAGCATGGGAGCCAGCCCTGGAGAGCAGCAGGCCATCAGCTGACTGCACTCTCCTACACTGAGGGCAGGGCAGTCAGGTGATCATGACTTTGGGGTGGGGGGGGGTGATGCCAGTGGGAGCCGGCCCTGGAAAGCAGCATGCCATCAGCTGACTGCACTCACCCACACTGAGGTCAAGGCATCACTGAATGTGATGATGACTTGGGGGTGGGGGTGGTGCCAGTAGGAGCCAGCTCTGGAGATCAGCAGGCCATCAGCTGACTGCACTCACCCACACTGAGGACAGGGTAGTCAGGTGATCATGACTTGGGGGCGGGGGTGGGGGTGGTGGCCAATTTGTGATTCCCTGATGTTGCCATTCAGACTCACAAGTGTACATATGTCTGATCCAGCCAGGTACACAGTGTACACACTGCCCAGTAAAACTGTGCCTGACTGTTTAATCACATCCATCTCTTCCAGTTGAGGAATTCCTGAAGAAACAGGAGCTAGAAGCATTTCGGCTATAAAGCATACCTTATCAGCAAGGAGAAACTAATGTTCCCTGGGCGGTATCTATCGGTTTCCTTCTATAAAACACTGTTCTTGTACAGGGTTCTGATGTGGTAGTTCCACAGATTCTTTTATAGTGCTATATGTGTGTTGTTATAATGGGGGACTTCAACACTTCACTCTTCCTAACCATGGCATATAGTGATAGATTTGACAGTTCTTCAGTGTGACTCCAACACTTCTGTTGGGTCTGCCTTACACTTGCACCATAACATTTACGCTTGAAATGACATTTTTTTTATAGCCTATTACTAAAATATTTACTGAGATTAACAGACATTTTATCCCCTTTAGAAATGTTGCAAGCACAAAGTATGTTAATAGTTAAACCACTGGTGTATTGGCACCTGCCCACTGATAGCTAGCACTTAACACCTATACACACCAGCTCCTGAAGCCCTACCCTAGTCTTGCTCCAAGGCTGTACTGAATGATACGGCTGTGAATGAATAGTAACTCTATCCTCATATTTAGCAAGTGTAGACTGGCAGACAGTACAAAGACATCAGTCCTTTATACAGACTGTTCTTATTATTTATATAATTTAGCATTAAGATTGGATTATTGATTATTCCCCTTGACTTGACAAGCGCAAATGTACACCGCTCCCCCACTAAGTACCCGAAAGGACAAGTCCGACTGACTTGTAATACACTGCTTCATCCTTGGTTCTTCAACGTTATGTGTCCCAAATACTCCAGTGGAATATATGTAGCCACCATCTTATGTGGGAGTGCCAGTAATGAGGCAATCACTTTCATACAGCAGGTGAGTGAAACTCTGTTTACTGGACACTTCATTATCTGGAATCTTTATCACACAGTGTAACCTTGTGATTCCATCAGAATCCTCTCTTACACAATGGTTTAATATCAACACAGACATTGTAATGACTGAATACATAATAGAGAATACATAAAAATTATAAATGTTTTCAAAAACATTTGCACCATAAAGCTATTTACGTACACTAAAGATGCCAAGATTACAAAACATTCAATGACATCATAGAATAAAAGGATCTAGTAGGATCTAGTATCTCCTAGACAAGAAGGATTTTCTACAATACCCAAGCAATGTAAGTTTAAGAAAATACAAGCTCGGTTTACTTATCAATTGTGCTAAACCACTGGGTTATAAAGCAGAAATGTATTCCAGGTAAATATTGGAAAACAACAAAGTAAAATACTTTTATAACTGTCATGATTAATCACAGCGAAGAAATTACTGAGACACTTTCATTAATGTGAATCTAATATTGTCGAGTGGTCATAAGAACGGTTCTGTAAACATTCAGTTTAAACTTCAATATGTAATCATAATCTACCACACATATGTCCAACATTTTCCTCATTTCAAACATTCCTATTACGATGAACCTCCATTGCAGCACATATATACTTCACAACGCTCGATAGGGATTATCAGACATGCTGTTCTATTTAAATACAAATAAATATAAGAATCAGGTTTGTGTAGCATGGAAAGATAAAGATCATCCCTATCAAACTGGAGTAGTATACCTTAACATTTAGCAATGATGGTCTAGCCATTGATTCCTTCTTGTAATATCGGTCTTGAGTCAGAAAAACATTTAGCCCTTGTTTTATCATCCATAAATGAAAATACATTACAGTTTCAATAATTAATAATTGTTTGGGTAATTATTGAACTAAATGATAACACCGTACAAATTGAACGTTCATGCTTATTATTGCAGTGTGAGTTCTGAATATTACAGATATAAATTTTGCAAGGCGGCAAACCCTTGCAAAGGGAAGATGGCCACTCAACAATAATCATAGTTATTTAGACAGTCCTTAGA